CCTGGGAAGGAACACGCGGGACACACAATTGGACTGTTGGTGGTGCGTGGATCCCAGGCCCTGAGTGGTCTCGATTGGATGCGGCAACCGATTCTGACATGGTGCGCTGGAAGTGGAAGACTCCATGCATAGTTACTCGATGGTATATTCAGGGGCATGGAGCGCATGGACAGAGCACGCCGGGGCTAACAATGACTGGTGTTAGTTAATGCCGCGGTGGACCTGGAAGCAATCCCCCTAATACCATGATGCAATGGTGGATAGAGGATATTGTCTGATGCTCCAGAGTCAGTCAATCTCCCTAACGGATTCCAGAAATCGGTGAGAGACGCTAGAAAGAGCATTACGGGCGTCATCCGCAGGTGGGACAGCATCGATTCTGGGGAGTATGTCAGACCGCAATCTCGATCTGACTCAGGAACAGGGAGAATCTGTGTGCACTGATCAGTGCTAACTTCATCCGGGGGGAAAGAACGGTGAATCACGTGGACCGAGTCACATGTCAAACATTTCCTTTTCATTCCATGGGACACTCACGGGTCCCCACAATGATCCACCGAGCTGTCGGAAGCTTCTCACGTCGTTCAGTCCTCGACAAGTGATGCGGTGCTCTGCTTAATTCGGACGGTTGCAGCACTGCCAATGACGATGGTGCCCTGATGCTATGGCAAATCCTGGCAGTATCCCCTCCAGGAACAAGTCCGTCGTGACTCACCAGGCCGTGTCGACCGCATTGCCAGTGCTGTCTGTCTGGTCTAGTCCGTCGAGGAGGGGGGAGTGGAGACGAAAAAAAAAAATTGAAAGTGCATACATACATCCTGCGAGGGAGAGTGTTAGCGACCCGACCATCTGCACATAATACAGTGATGCTGGCAATCATAAGTGGGCGCAGTGGATGGGCGATGATGTGTGAGTAATTCTGTCGGTCTTGGTTTCAGATCGTGTTCTATTGATTTTGTTGTGTCTGACAGCTGGTTATCTTTAGGATATTGTCTGCCTAGACACGATACCCATACAGTTATCAATACAATACGTGGGCGAATCCTCCAGGCCCTCTCCCAGCCTCGCTGATTTCATCGCCGAAATTGGGCTCCAACACCTATCCGGAGTGCCACCTCAGCAGCTAAGCGGTGAAGCATCGTTCAAACCATCTCCGCCTGTTGGCGTTGTCCGATAGGCCTATCATAGCCGGTGATCTTCCGAGTAAGAAAAAATCAAAAATCAAAAATGCATCGTCCGGGTGGGCTTTGAAGAATCCGGTAAAAAAAGAAAAGAAAAATTACATTCTGCGTTGGCTATCTGTATCCGATATTCTTTTCGGTTAGTCTGTTTTATGCTAATCGTGTGATTCTTCGCGCCTATGTCGAGAAAAAAGAAAAATATCCATTCAGGTTTAGTTTTGAAATCGTCCCTCCTCCACTTATGACTGGAGGCCTCGGGATCCGGAGAGATACATACCTCACGGCCCTCCTCCCTTTTAAAAAGGGAGAGGCGTCTCTCCCTGGCCGAATCCGTCTTCTGTCAAACAAATAGTCTGTCGGTCTGCCCCCTTCGGTAGATGGATCTCCTTATCACCTATCATCATCTCTTATCGCCTCTGCAAGCCACGACAACTCTATCCTCGATCTATCTTTGTCCTTGCTCTTGCTATCCCTCGCTGTGAATGTGCATCGAGGTGTAATACTAAACCCGCTTAATGCCCTCCGGACTTGTTGCTCGAATACTTCGTATGATACGACGTCCAAGGATGCATACGCCGTTCAACCGCCAGTTTCCCTCGCGGTTACTGTCGTGTCTTACGACATTCTTGCCCTCTGGGGCTCGACCACATGCTGCCAGGAAATCCGCTCCGCCCAGCCATAAAACCGACACCGACGACTCCTTTGTCCATGTGGAAGCGCCAACTCCAGAAGAAACAGAAGAACAGCAGCCAGAACCAGAAGAACCGGAGCCGGAGCCGGAGCCGGAAGAAGACCCCCAGATAATCCGCGATCTGCTGCGGAAAGAGGCACTCGACAGCCTCGAGACGGTCATATGTGCCGAACAAGTCAAGCGACAGTTGAAGGCTATTGCACAGTGGGTGCAAATCTGTCGACGTCATGGGGAGGATCCGCGGAAGGATTGGTATAACATGGTTTTCCAGGGGAACCCTGGGACAGGTACGCTGCCACCCCACTTAGGTTGGGCCATCTCGAGCTAACGAGTCTAGGCAAGAGAACCGTTGCACAAATCTATTCGAAACTTCTCTATGCCCTCGATATCCTGGATGCCAACGAATCCCGTATCATCTCCGCCACCGATCTGGTTGCCGAAGGGCCAGGAGCCATCACCCGTCTGATGCAAGATATCGTCGAAGCCGCCCCGCTAGCGGCCCAGACGGCCGGTGTTCTAACCATCACCGAGCCGTACCAACTTACGACCTTCCAAAAAACCCAAGCCGGTCGCCAGGCTCTCGAATCCCTAATGCACGGCATGGAACGCCCCGTAGGCAAGATCATCGTCGTGTTCGTCGGTTGCCAAGAAGAGGTGGCCGACTTTCTCCGCCACAACACCCAGCTGCAGCGGAGGATCTGCTGCTCCATCAACTTCGCCGATCTTGACGAGACTGAGCTGCTCCGTATTGCCGGCGCTGCCCTGACTCAGAAGTATGGCGGGCGGATGCGTGTCGAGGGTGGCCTCGAAGGGCAGTACATGCAAGTGGCTGTCCGTCGACTGGCCCACGGCCGCGTCGAGCAGGGCTTTACCAACTCTCATGCCGTCGAGGACCTCCTAGCCAGCATTTCCCATCGCCATGCACGACGTCTGTCTGAAATCCCTGATGCTCAGTTGGACGAAAGCGACTACTTCTTCCTCTCCAAGGAGGATCTCCTCGGACCTACCCCGGCCCAGATCAAGGCACGGAGTGAGGCCTGGGTGGCATTGGAGCAGTTGATCGGACAAGACAATGCCAAGGCGTCTGTCGCTGAAGTTTTCGACACCGCTGAAGAAAATTACTGGCGTGAGGTTCGGAATCAACGACCGTTGCCTCTGCGTCTGAACCGGATCTTCGCTGGACCCCCGGGAACCGGCAAGACTACGGTAGCCAAGCTCTATGGTCAGGTCTTGGCCGATCTTGGGCTTCTTAGCAGTGGAGACGCCACTGTTATAACGCCAGCCGGCGTTAAAGGTGGCCAGGGTCTGTCTGACATCCTCCACTCGACGGTCGGCAAGACCTTGATCATCAACGACTCGGCGATCTCGCCCGGCACCGACCAACAATTGCAATCCCGCACAGTCATTCTGGATGCTCTATATGCTGAAATGTCGTCCAGTGACGCCATCGACCGTTGCGTGATCTTCACTGGCTCGGAGAGCAACATCGATGCTATCTCTCGCCATGCCGATAAGCCTTTCTCGAGCCTTTTCGCACCTAAGATTATCGTGCGCTTTGAGGCGTTTACTCGACCGCAGCTTGAGCAGATCATGCAACGGAAGTTGCAAGAGCAGGATCTCTTTGTAACCCCCGAAGCCATGCAGACCGCGATGGAGGCTCTCGAGGCTACGCGGATGCGCCAGAGTTTCGAGAACGCTCGGGCGATCGACACTCTTTTGACTTCGGCCAACCGTAATTTTGAAGTGCGGACGGCCCGTGTGGGCACACCGATGTTCCAGTCGGATCGGATGCTGGAGCCCCAGGATGTTGCGGCCAATTCGAGTGACACCAACGTTAGTGTCAAGAATGCGCTGCAAGATCTGGTGGCGGACTGTATTATCGCTGATCTGGAGCGGTATCAGAAGGAGATTAAGATCTCGTGGCTTATGGGACGGGACCCGTGCGAACGGGTGCCTTGTGCCTTAGTCTTCAAGGGACCGTGTGGTGAGTCTTCCATTCAAATAATACAGTGACGAGTTACGGTGCTAACTATACCAGGTACTGGCAAGGTCACTGTGGCCAAGCAGCTAGCCAAGATCTACTATGACATGGGCATCCTGGAGACAGACCAGCTGGCTGAATGTTCAGCTACCGATATCGTGGGCCAGCGGCCTGGCGAGACCTCCGCAAAGAGCCGTGCTCAGCTTGACCGCGGCCTGGGCAAGGTGCTCCTCGTCGAAGAAGCCCATCGCCTAGTCGAGGGCGAAACCACCGGCGAACTTGTCGACGAGTTCGCCTATCTCCTCCCGAAATATGCCTCGAAGATGGTCGTCATCCTCGCCGGCCCGCAGGCGGAAATGGACACCCTCCTCTCCAACCGCCACAATCTTTCCAGCCTTTTCCAGGAGGAAATCATTTTCAAGAACCGCACTCCCCGCGAATGCATCCGCCTCCTAGACCGCCGTCTTGACGAGGAGAAAGTTGGCGGAGCACGGCCCTTCCTCCGCGACCCCCAGTCGCCAGACTATGTCGAGTTCACCCGCGCCTTCCAGATGCTCATGCTGTACCCATGCTGGAGCAACGCGCGGGACGTCAACGTGCTCGCACGCTGGATGGTCTCGGAGAGTCTGAGAGAGGTATCTCTGGAAGCCGCGCAGAGCGGAACCCTCGAGCTGTCGATCACAGCCGACCAGGCCATGTCGTGCATGGTGCGGATGTTCAACGTCAAGCGGGACCGGCTCAAGCTGAACCAGGACACCAAGTCGAAGTCCGTGCCACGGATGCTGTCGCAGCCCCGCTCGGTTAGTCGGGGGAGCGTACGCTTTCCGTACTGACTCTCATATGACAGGTGGGAGGGGGTGTGGATATTCGAACAGTTGGCCGAGTGATCGACTGATTGACGGACCCACCTGCTTGTCTTTGGTATGCTGGTGATATGACCAGACTGGTACTTGCATGATTATGGGGAATTACGGGACCCGGGACAGAATGAACGGACACGATACGGATACGGACACGGATATACGGATATTATGATTTACGATTGATTATACCACTGCATGAGTTATGACTTACTATTTTCCTATGTTAGATGCTGGCATCATAGATACGAATACATTGCATGATCTCTCACTACTCTGCGTACAGTCTAGTCATTCCCTCGAAACTCAGGAATATGTAAATTATACGCTTTCGTCCAACCGGCCGGATCACCTGTATCCATCTCAAAATGCAGTTGAATATCCAGCCCTCCTTCTCCTTCCCCAGTCTTCTCCCCAATCCCATTCACGCCCACACCCACACCCTCAGTCCCAGTATCACTAATCTCGCAATAATTCCTCCTCGGCAACAAATGCTTATTTCTCCTCGCTCTCCCATCAACATCCTCCCCAAAAACACCCACCATCTTCTCCCCTGTCCTCCTCCCAATATAATGTGTCCTCCCGCGATCAACCCGATTCAAAATATCCGCCACCTTCCCGGCCGGCGGCCGATTCGTAATCGCACTCGATATCACACACGCCATATACCGTCCATCTCCCTCCTTCCTGGGACTAGGCTCATCCCTCCTCTTCCAGAACCGCACGCGATGCTTCCGTTCGCTAGACGAGGGCGTGAAGAATTCGCCCACTGCACCTAAGTGTACATCTCCGCTTAGGAATGTGACGCGGATGTTTTTCTCGACGGCGAGTTTTTGCAGCGCTTCGAGGAGAAATTGCCGCTCGGTGCGGTGGTGGCGTGTTGTCCAGTGGTCGTCTAGGTCGTCGAGGATTTCGATGCTGCCGTCGAATTTGTTGAAGAGGGCTGAGGAGACGAGGCCGATGCGGCCGAGGGCTTTGAGGGGGCTCATTAGGCGGCTTGAGAAGAGGGTTTCGAGAATGGAGAGGCGGGGGTAGATTATAGGCTTGTTTCTATCAGCCTGTATCCGGATTACGTTGTTAAACCGCGGAGAGGGGGGGTATTGGACTTACTACTCCTAAAAGGACGAGGAGATGCTTCGTATCCGATGTAACCTCCCTCCTCAACCTCTCAAACACAGCATTATACGTCTCCCGATATACGATACGGGAACGTGTCCGCTCAGTTCGACAATCCAACCCCAAAAACATAACCTCAGGCCCCAGCCGCACAAACACACTCCGACTAACCTGCGCAATATAGGGCCCCGTGCTTCCCCCTATCACCCAACTCCCATCATTCCCCCCGGTTTCGGCGGTATCCCCTCCCCCGCTGCCGCTCCCACTACCAACCCCCCTCGCCGCAGCTCCAGGGGACACATGATGCTGGAACAGCATGTAGTACCGCCACGCAACACCACCCAATCCCTTGAAAACATCAGACTCCATGGTTCGGTGCGGGTAGCTCCCGTACCCGTCGATGATGTCGTGGTCGTCCCAGATGTTTATGCTGGGGATGTGAGCTGCTGCTACACTGAATAGGCCCTGTGAGTACCACCAGCTGTATCTCTGGAGGAAAAAAGATTCGAGCTCGTCGCGCATGGTGTTTGTGAATTGCGAGCGCAGTTTGGCGAGGGAGGCTGTTTCTGTCCAACGCGAGAAATTTGGGGAGGAGAGGCGGGATTCGTCTGTGTAGAGTTGGTCGCCGCCACCGAGCATTAGGTGGAATGGCCTGCCATTGTTTTTGCTGTTGTTGTTGGCCGTGGTGTTAGGGTTCTCATCGCTGAGACTGGCGCTGGTGTGTTTTCGCAAAACGTCACGCCAAAGCGGATCAGGCCCCGAAAACAACCCGGTATCAACACCCACCGAAAATCCATTACAGCTATGAAACATAACATGCATATTCTCCATAACCGCCGGGATCCAAAAATACTGTGCACACGGACTCCGATTAATCCGATATGATATCTGCATCGCACCCGTATCCTGAGGAATAAGCATATCGAAGCGCCAGAACGTCATGCCCCGCTCTGTATGGATTTGTACAGCGTCAATTTTAAATAAGTCCTCTTCACCTTCGCTATCGCCGTCGAGTTGGATTGGATCAAGTAGATTCGCTGGCTCGGGATGGGACTGGGGCTGGGAGTCGGGCCGGAAGAGGCCGCCTTCGCCGTGGAAAGTTGAGTAGTCGATGCCTCGTTGGACTTCGGTTGCGGGTTTGAGGGATAGTGGTTTGCCGGTTCTGGAAAGTTTTTTCAGGTCTGTTACTGGTGTGGTTGTTTTGGAGAGGGTGAGTGAGGGAACTGGGGTGTAAGTTGATTGTTCATCGTCGGTTACGATTAGGATGCTTCCTCGCCAGGTGTTGTGGACGAGTCCTGTGAAGCGGAGGAGGGGACCACAGGTGAGATATAATGCAGGATTAAAGGCATTGTGGCTATCTTTATCAATAGGGGGATCGTTGGCATTGCCGTCGGGTTGAACGAATATATCCTCCTTGTTAGCGTATACGTCCATTGTGGCTTGCCATTGAGAAGGACAAAAGGAATCATGTATAGTGAGGTGAAGTGGGCACCCTATAAACTCGGAGTTATCTCATTCTGACTCGATGGAAGATCATCTTCCTGATGATTAGCGTCGTCATTGCTTTTTCCGGGAGCTAAATCTGTAAGTCAACTTTAATTGCACTATCCAGTCAAGTCAATTATAGCTGCAAGAAAAGAAGGAGAGAACTTCATTGGGTATATGAGGTACATCCAGCATTCCACCACATTAGCTAAATAGCATAGCCATAGCCAGCAGACACGAAGCACACAAAGCCGCCAAATGTGGTATTAGATAAGGAAGAACCAAAACAACTTTTGTGGGCATACACTGCTAATTGCAGTGCCGTAAACGAAAGCAAGGCATTAAACTTTTGAGAAGAGATGGACTGGTGCCAGCTCATCCCTGGTATTTTGGATAAAAAAAAAACCCGGTATTCGCCATGAATGCATAAAGAAAACAACACATGCAGAAGAACAGAAGTGACCGAATGCTATAGCATCCAATCCAATCCATTCGCCTCTTCTTCAATCGGGAACACCTCGCGCGCATACTCTTCCATGTCGCGCCACCCTTCCCACAGCTGACGCGCCTCATCGGTCACGCGAAGCGAAATGACACCGCCGGGACCTTGCATCATGCCCGCCCCCGCGCCCTTGCCGCCAGCGGGACCCAACCCTTTGGGAGAGCCGGCGGCTGGTTGGGAGAACTCGGGTTGCGGGAAGTAAGGGGCGTTGCATTCGCCAAAGACGATTGCAAGCGCTTCCAGTTGTTCTCGATAGCCTGGAGGGATGTTGACTTTGATTTCAATTGAGTCGCGGATGTAGTGGCAGGGCCGGTTAAGCGCTCGACTGAAAGCAGCGCAGACTTGATTGGGGGAGAGTGTTTCAAAGGTCAAAGCGATTCTACACTATTAGCATCCGGTCATTGGAGAAGCAGGGGAAAGGAAAATACCTATGACCCAACCACCTCTTCGGCCCATCCTTGAAAATCTGCAACAGCGTGGGACCAACATCATGCTCGGCATCCAACCACGGCAACGGTACATCCGGATCAAACGGCGCATGCCACTCAAAACTTCCATCACTCATCAGCTCCATCTGAAACAGCGGATACGGCAAACTCGTAAAATTATTATTGTAAATCCCCGCATACACAAACGTCGCAGGCAACTCCAACTGCCGCACATAGTTCTCGACCGTAAATTTCGGCGCCCACAGCGGCACCGGCGGCCACGGCCCATGCACCGAATGATCAGGCATGCTGCTGTAGATGTAGTGCTGGATGGTACCGGCGCGCTTGGCGGCGTCGGCCAGGGCGCGGCCAATGGCTACCTCGTCGCCGGCTTGCGAGGTGGTGTTGATGAAGGCGAGCTGGGCGCCGTGGAAGAGGCTGTCGATTAGACGGTCATTGTCGAGCAATGGGCCTTGAAAGAGAGTGACGTTGGGGAGACCTTGGAGTTCTTGGGCGATAAAGCCTTTGAGGGAGTGGACTTGGGCGCGGACGAGGTAGCCGACGGCCGAGGCGACGCGAATGAGAGAGGCGGCCTGGCGGCCCGTGGCATTTACCACGGCGATAGTTTTCATTTGTAGGTAATTCGGGAAGGTATCCGAGGGGGGTATATATGTATGTAGTAGAGAACGCGGGGGAGGATCCGGAGAGGAGGGGGGACCGTCGGAGTGAGAGCGAAGAAGAGAGGAAAGAGAAGACGAGTGTAGGGGTAGACTGAGAGGGCGTAGAGGATACGAGGGAGAACAGAAGGAGAGTAAAAGAGAGTAAAAAGTCGAGATAGTCAAGAGAGGTTGAGGTAGAAGTGGTAGAGGGAAGAATGGAAGAAGAAGAGAGCACACACAGTGGGGGGCGGCAACGAGGGGCAGAATAACTATGAATAATGGAATGCAGGAGAGAGCGAGTGAGAGAGTCACTCAGAGAGAAAGAGTCTTTAATATAGAAGAAGAGTGTAGAGTCTAGAGTCGCAATGCACTCGGCAAATGGTGCGAGTTCCGGTGATACTGACAGTCCGGTGACTGTGACTCTGCTATCTATACCCAGGTTTGGCATTTGCATCCTATCCTATATCTCCTATATTCTTCCCCTGGTATAGCTCTATAACTCCTATTGTGTTGGGACCAGCTGGCGGCAGTTTTCTTTTACGTAACAAATGAGGGAATTCTTCTGAAAATCACGTTTTTCTTCCGAGCTTTCAATTGCTTCCAGCAGTAGTATATCAAATATACATACACAGTAGACATCCTTTATATCCAAATACTACAGAGTACATACAATAGCATATCGAATCTACTTATACTAAGGCTTGGCTACTCGTGCAATCCCGCTTCTCCCCAGATCTCCGGCCGCCGTTGCGCCAACACCTCCGCCGCTGCCCGCTCGTCCGAATGCAGATGTGCCCCGGACTGCCGCAGCAGCTTAACATGCTCTCCCATTCCAGCATTCGCAGCCATGAACAACGGCGTGCGATTCTGGTTATTGCGCAGGTGAACCGAGCCTCCTTGTCGGAGGAGGTATTCCAGTACTTCGAGCGAGGGCGATGTGGATGCGATGTGCTGCATAGCATTAGCATGTGAATAGTCTAGTAGAGAGATAAAGCGCTTACGATAGGCGTATTTCCCGAGTAATCCGCATCATTCAACAGCCAATGATGCTCCATCTTGACTATCACATCTACCCGTTGCAAATCGCCCCGAGCGATCGCGTACCCCAGCATCGTGAGCGTCTGCGCCCGTTCCGACAGTTCCCCATCCGGATGGCGGAACACCGGCTGCGAGATCTCGGTTAGTTCTCCGCGGAGCGACACGGCCATGTCCTTGGCAATCGACTCGGGTGTGCATTCGGGGATTGCCAGTAGATAAGCCAGCTTGGTGAGCGCCGCTTCGGTAGTCATGTCCAGACCGGCTACCACTCCGGCACGCGAGAGACTCATTCCAGGCGCGTACACGGGGCTCACGCTCCCCGTGAGGCACTGCGTAACATTGACAATCACAATCCCTCTCCCAATCGCATCCGCCAACACCTTGGTCATGGCGTTATCCTGCCCATGCGGCGCATTTCCCGCCCCAAACGTCTCCAGCACAAGACCCCTCAACCCCTCCAACCTAAGCACCGCATCCACCATCTCCGGCTGTATGCCCGGAAAGATCCTCAAGCAAGCAACATGCCTCGTATCCAAATCCGTACGGATCCCAAACGCCCCGATCCCGCGAGGCCTCCTCACAATCTCCCAGTTAACATTCGTGCGCGTCGAATTCGTCACAGCCAAAGGCGCATAGTTTGGCGATTCAAACGCTGCAAAATCACTCGCTGCGACCTTGATGCACCGGTTCCCACGGAACAGCCGATTATTGAAATACAAACACACCTCGGGGATCATAAAGTGACCCGCGACAACCAACGAGCCTAGCAGGTTTTCTGTAGCATCGTTCTGCAGTTCCAGCATCGGCGACTGCGATCCAGTCAGGACAACCGGTTTTCCCAGGTTCTGCAGCATGAAACTCAGCGCAGAGCACGTGTACGCCAGACTATCCGTGCCATGCAGTACCACGAAACCATCGAAATGTGTGTAATTCCGCTCAATCGTCTCCGCGATCTCTGTCCACCCTTTTGCATCGATTGAACTGCTATCCAGTAACTCTGGGAACTCGTAGACCGTGTAGCGCACTTTGCGGCCGTAGGCTGTTTGCGGGGTCCGCAGACTGGTGTACTCCTTCACCTCATGGCCAGTTCTCTCAGCGTTGTCGTTGATAACTTCTATCGGGATCGAGGGCGATTTATCATTAAAAGCAGGCATAGGCGCGAGACAATGTTCTTGGAAGTCGCGCGCGGGGACGAAGCCGTTTGGCGACTGGCGCATGCAGATTGTACCGCCAGTCATGATGAGGAGGACACGAGATTCGATTTCTTCGGCCATGGTTGCTTCTGTGTCTGTGTTTGAATTTGCCTCGCGGTTTGTTGGGTCGGTTGTCTGGGGAAAGGTGACATGCTGACCATGTTTATGTGACTGTATATAAGGCTGGAGTACTCCAACTGTTGGAGAAACCCCAATGTGGGTTGTTGCTGTATGGACTCGCTTAGTTGGAGTTAGCACGGTGTCAGAAGATTGACAGTGAATAGTAAAAGTATGGGGTAATAGAAATACAGTTGAGGCAAAGTGGTAGAGGATACTGTAGTTGAATGAGATAAGATGAGGGGTGTATCACGGTTGCATCAAGCTGGGTAAGCGGCATTATTCTACAATAGAAAATATCGAGATTAAGAAATTTTTGTCTATTCTATATCGAACTCCGGGTATCTCTATTTACAAAAAAGGAAAAAAACAAAAATTTAACGGCCATAACAAAGGTTTAATGGCAATGCGGCTGGTTGAGGAGTACACCTTCGCCTTGCGACTCCTGTACTCCCTTGTACTCGCGACGGGCCCGGGCGAACCAGTCTGTGAGAAGGACAAACACGACAACACCGTACACGGCGCAGACGTAGTTCATGTCTAGAGTAACCGTTAGCATCGAACTTTGATAGTTACGGGACGAGGGCAACATACTGCCAGTAGTAACAGGCATGGTCGACGGGAACGAGTACATGACCAGACAGAAAACCGTCCAGAGCAAAGTGACGATGTTGGCGGCAAGACCCCAGGTACCCAGCCAGAAAGGTCCGTGGCGGATGTTGTTGCGCCCGCGGTACCAGAGACACAGAATCGGGGTTGTGTACGAGATGTACAGGAGAGTAATGCATGCAGTCACCATACTGTTGAACGCGGTCGAGGATCCCAAGTAGAGAAGGCCAAGAACACCGACAATGAAGCAGCTAACGTTGTGTGACATGAGCGGCACGTCGAGCGTCTTGTTGACCTGCGAGATCCACTGGTGCCCTGGCACGCCACGGTCACGGGCGAACGACCACACAAGACGCGACTGCCAGGTGTGGCAGGCGATGAGACAACCCATACCCGTGACGATAAGCAGAGTCTCCAGAACAATAGCGCCGGCCTTGTTGTTCAGGGCCTGGTAGTAGAGTTCCAGGATGGGAACCTCGGTGGCCGAGTTGATGAGCTTGTTCAAGTCCTTGAGACTGAAGAACATGGAGATACAGTAGAACCATGAGGTGGTGAAGCCAATTCCCACGGTAGCCAGGATGGCGATGGGGATGTTGCGCTCTGGCTGGGGCACCTCTTCGGCCATGTGCGTGGCAGAGTCGAGACAGGCGAAGATCCAGTTCGGGTTGATGAGACCAACGATGAAGGCCATGCCGTCGGACTTCCAGCCGGTTGAGTTGACAAACTGCGCAAAGACATAGTGGCCGCTCTGGTGGCTGCTCGCACAGGCAGGGACGGCAATCAGGATGACGAAGAACGAAACCAACGAGATGTACAGCGTCCCCTTGGCCACCAACGGCAGGGTCTTGCCCCAGCAGTTGAACAGGTAGCAGAAGAAGTTGATCAATTGGTAGACCACGACAGTATGCCATGCTTCGATGACACTATTACAGTCAGCCTACAGACAAACGGACAGAGGGAAGATTGTCAGCCTACAAGTCAGGATGACCCAGTTTCCACATTCCTATGACACCTTGAGCCAGACTGAGAGCCACACTAGCACAGGCAAAAATAGCACCGGCATAGCCAAACCAGCCGGTGAAGTAGGAAGCAAAACGGGCATATTTCGGAGGAGCCAACTGACTGGCCCAGAAATACTGTCCGCCAGCGTTGGGCATGGCACTGGCCAATTCTGACAGTGACGTGCCCACACATAGCGAGACGAAAGAGATCCAGATCAATCCATACACCAGAAGAACAGTGCCTCCGGAACTGATACCAGTAATTAACGAGGCGGAGATACCGAACCAGGAGTTGGACATGCAAAAAGCAATACCGATCAGGGACAGAACCGAGAAGTTGCGCTGCAGGTCTTGGGTGTAACCCATCTCGGCCAGCTTCATGGCATCGTTGTCATCAGCACCGGAGGCATTCTCGCTGGATGCGGGCTTGACGCTCGGCTTCTTTTCTATATCAAGGTCGCTCATGGTGAATAGGTAAATAGGGTCAGTAGCGTAGGGACAACGGGATCAATGGGGATGAAAGCTGCAAGGGCAACACTATCGGGACCGGGGTGGGATCGAGTGCTGCACGGGTATTCGCTTTGGGCGTTAATTCAACAACGGACGGTCCCAAGGGTTAAGGCCAGTTGCATAGGGCTGTCTTCTCGGGGAACTCAGGGAACTCGGGAAGTCGCTGTTGGACAAAGCTGCTGTGGCTGGAAGTTGCTGTGGGATCGATTCAGGATCGTTGGGGGGAGAGAATGTCGCTGCGGGTGTTGGTTCCGGACTGGCGATATCAAGGTACTCGGTACAGATACTGAAGAGCGAAGCGACACAGGATTACAGAACTGAATCTGCGTTGTTTTCTTGTTTCTCGAGTTATGAACAGATGAGCCTCACTGTAACCTGGTGAAGAGAGTGAGTGTGAGAGTGATGAGGGGGATAAAAAAAGAAAGAAGGAAGACCAGGGTGAAGAAGAGGTTCCTGGCTGCTAAAATGCTTCGGCTGAAGTTGAACAATAGTAAAACAAAGAAGCCGGATGGACACCGGGCCGTATTTAACAGGGCAAGAAGTCTCTTGACTCTCTGAATCTTTCCTGCTTCGACCACAGTCCATTTCGGGTATGGCTTTCTCGGCGGGTCACCGCGATATCACCATTCTCTCTGACTGGGTATAATGGCTGACAGCCCACCAAAATGCCGGAGAACCATACTTAATCTGGGCATACACGCGACAGTGTTGAGAGATAGCGTCTCCGATTGGCCTGTTGGACGCATCATAGCGTCATTTAGTGGGCCTCAGCCGCTTAGCGCCGGTACCACTAGTTTGGAAGAGGCTAGGGTGAGCTTTGGCGCCGCATTAGTCCGAGGTTTTTCCCGTGACTTTAGCGGGCTCAGAAGGGCAAAGATTTCCTGCCGAGAGTTTGATTTCTAGAAAAGTTTGGATATCACTTGGTTGATAGACATAGATATGGACAGAGATACATGGGTAGATAGGATCAACTATCGGCTGTGCACATAGTACTACAGAGTATGCACTAGACCATGTACAGAGTGAGAGATTAATGGTAAGTTCTACGATCACACGTCACTGTGGACTGAGGCAATTCTGATGCTCTGTTTTAGCATCGGAGAACTGTGGAGGTCAGGCAATATCTTTCTGTAGTATGACAGTATCGCAGAACGCATGGTTGCAGCTGTATGCAGCCGTGGTATAAAAGCACGTCAAAAGAGACTCTGTGGCTCATGTGTTACGGTGCCATGAGCATCACGACCACAACTATGCGACTCTCTCAATATGACTGTTGAATAGTTGTACCTGTAAGTGCAGTTGTGCAATTGGAGAGAACAATCATTACCCCATCCGGAACCGTTGGCATCCTTAATAACTTCCGAAACCTCTTGAAAAAATTTTTCCTCCGAATCAAGGCAGACTCGTAGATTCCATCCCGAGTCCGAGTCCGCTCATAATTTAGCTCCATTCAATATGGTTATCTTCATTATGCTTGGCTAAACCTTTTTGACGGAACGGGACGTTTGCTGGAGTCTGTGGAGCGTTGAAAACCTGATTGCGCATGTTTGTAGCTGTGTTTAGTCTCGGAGCATGCAGGATTCGTAGGGACAGCACTGCCTTTTCGGTCGGGTTGATATCAAATTTTGACTCTTTTGAGTAGGATAACTTAAATCGTAGGGCATCTCGGGCCCGGAAGATATTCAGTCTTATTAATATCAGGTGACTCGTGGACTATGCAGAATATCTCGTCCTGCGTGCAGGCTTATATAAGAGCAGTGTCCTGTTTGACCTGTTGCGTAGACCTGCTCACTAGCAGTCAATTTCTACCAACGGGAGTCTTTGCATGAACTATCCACAGATCGGACAGGGGGTCAGGTACGGATAAAACCGTCAAGGATTCATCTGTTTCAGTTGTGTATTTGTAACCATCGCAGACTTTGGACATCTTGAATGTATCAGAATTGTATATCACTAGATGCCATACCCCTCCCTACCACAAGTACTGCTCACCTGAACATACTCCGGACTCCTCCATACAAGTACAGGACTGATCCCAGGGTCCGTATTGTATTGTACTGCACCTGTACAGTAAACGGATTACATGATATCACCGTTTCATGTCTCATTTCCCAGCCAATGCCGAGCCAATCACACGGCGTTCCAAAAGAATAGGGGGAGGCCAGGACAGCTGCTCGCCAGGCACCGCAGCCCCTTATTGGCCAAATATAGCGGGGGGTCCCTCCTGAAAACGCCCACGTTTCACAGAATGTGCCCCACCAGGGGCTCTCTAGCGAATTAGAATTCAATAGTCGGCACAATGTATCTTGTATGCTATAGCGGTATGTATTGGTATTTCATAGATTACGACACGGCAGAACAATCAACTCGCAACAGATCTCGATGTGAGCATGATAAAATAGAGAGATGGAATGGAAATAATATAGAAAAGAATATAGTATCAGCAACATACATTCTGGACATCTACAGATATCTACAAGTATCCAAGTAGATACTTGTGAAAAATACACTTGGCCGCGGTCTAGCGCGGCGGTTGGCTTTGCACCATCCCTTTCGGCCTCTATCCCTATTCTTTCAACTACTGCATTTGTTCCTTTTTCTTACCCTCTCTTCCCCTCTTATTTTCTCTCTTTCACACTCATTGAGGAGTTGCCCTGATTTTTGTCGATTTCTTGCAGTTTTCGCTGCTGTCATTCGTTTTTGCTGGTGAGTTCCATTTTTGTCATGTGTTGTGATATTACAGCCCCTCTCCGAGGACGAGAACAACGGGGAGAGATACATCGAGGACCGGAAAGAGACGAAAATAAGAACAAGAATCCCACAAGCACGAGTGGTTCGAATCGAAAACTACACGAAGAACCAAAAATACAGAGGATGCGATGTTTCCGAGATGCGCTGCGCTGCGATTCGCATTCGTATGAAAGCCATGACTTGACCGCCGATTAATTGATATCAATATCGCGACGGCGCCTCGATTGAACCTTCTATATCGCTCTTCTGGCACCGACTCTGCGCCTCATCCATCCACTGCTCCGTATGCCCTCGGCAGTCTCGTGGCGATATTTCCAGCCCAATAATGCAAGGAACGCCCCTTTTCCTGTGTGGTTCCAAGACACAGCTAGCCACCACAGTGGCTTTCCGGCTTTGCTTCGCCGACGGTGCTGTTTCTCCTTGGCCCATCTGGTCCTTGCGATGTTTCGCCTCCTTGGTTGGGCCTTTTTTGGTTCACGCTTGTCGTTCTCTTTTATCAGGAACCCGTTGTCCTCGTCTTTGTCCTCGTCCTGTTCATCTTCGAGTCTCTCCTTACCCCTATACTATCACTTGTCGCGTTGATCGCTTGATTTATTCTAACGAGTCTAGTTTTTCCGGCGGTTCTCGCTCCTGGTGACGCTTTGTAGCCGTCCCATTCGCTCTTTCAACAAACTCACTCATTCACTCCTTTGCTGTTTATTCTTTTCGCATCGTCAAGACTCTTCATTTTTCTTGAACCCTCAACATGACTCGTTCCGGCCGGCTCAATGTTGGCTTTGTCTCCTATCTGGCCGCCTTCGCTGGCATGGCTGATGCCTTCTGGCGTATGCCCTGCCGCGGACGTTCCGGTTTGGCGAGAATGGATCCCCTGATGGACCCTGGTGAGACCTCGTACCACGTCCACACTGTCCATGGATCTGGCGGTTAGTAACCCGTTCCCCTGATGCCGTCCCATACATGCTAACCTCGGATTCTAGCGTTCTCCATGGATGCCGATAGTGACACCTTGAAGAGCAGTGACTGTACCTCTTGCGCCGTTACCCAGGACAAGTCCGCCTACTGGACCCCTGCCTTGTACTTTATGCACGAGAACGGCACTTCCCAGATCGTTGAGGAAGTTGGTGGCATGCTTGCGTAAGAGCCCTAATGCCTTTCTATTCTATCATCAAGTCTAACCAATCTCGCTGCCAGGTACTACCTCTTGTATGGCGACAATGTCAAGGCCTTCCCTGAGGGATTCCGTATGCTTGCCGGTGACCCCTTCCAGCGCAACTTCACTTGGCCCATCCCCGATCCTCCCAAGTCTGAGTGGACTGGTGACCAGGCCTCCCAGGCGGCCCTCAAGCAAAAGGCCATTGGTTTCAACTGCTTGAACTACAACGGAGCGGCCGAAGCCTCTCTTGGCCGTCACTTCTTGCCCAACAAGACTTACCTGGATGAGCACTGCACTGATGGTGTCCGCTTTGAGATGATGTTCCCCTCTTGCTGGAACGGCAAGGATGTCGACAGCGATGACCACACCTCGCACGTCGCCTACCCTTCGCTGGTCATGGACGGTACCTGCCCGGAGGGCTTTGAGACCCGTATCGTTTCCCTCTTCTTCGAGACTATCTGGAACACCTACGCCTTCAAGGACTACGAGGGTTACTTCGTCTTGGCTCACGGTGACCCTACTGGATTCGGCTACCACGGTGACTTCATTCAGGGCTGGGATCAGGACACTTTGGAGGCTGCGGTTAAGCAATGCACCAACCCCTCTGGTCAAATTCAGGACTGCCCTCTGTTCGACATTCAGAGCGAATCCGATGAGCTGCAGTGCAAGTTCGAGATTCCCGATGAGCTGAAGGACGAGGAAGAGGAGGTCGAGACCTGCACCACTGGTCTTGTCAATGGCCTGGCCATCGAGTGGGGTCCTCAGTACGCCTACCCCATCTCGTACACCACCTCTACCAGCGCTAGCGCCCCCGGTGTCTCTGTATCCGCATCTGTCGGTCTCGACCTCAACATTGGTGGCCTTTTCGGCAATCTCTTCGCTGGGTCGAGCAGCGCTACACCCTCAGCCGAGCCCAGCTCTTCCTCCACTCCCGCTGCGGACAACTCTAACGCTGCTGCCAACTTGATCGCTTCCGCTCCTCAGTCGACTTCTACTCCCTCCCCCACTCCCACCCCGACGCCTACCTCCACGACCCCGACTTGGACCCCGACTCCCACCTCGTCTTTCATCTCGGGTGTTGTCGAGGAGGACACTGTTATCTACGCACAGGAAGTCAAGGTCTTGGTTGACCAGGACCAGAAGCCGTTCGAGACCGAGACCGGCAGCTTGGAGACCCTCTCCACTTCTACCACTACCTCCACTGGTGTGATCTCCACCGCCGTCAGCATGGTTACTGAGGCTCCCCGCAAGCGTCACTACCACGGCCGTCACCACCGCCGCAGCAACTTCTAAACTAGGAATCAGCGGCCCTGAGGACTCATCTCGTGTGTCTCTCATCTCTCAGGCCTGAACCGTGGCCTGACTACTTCTGATTGGATCTGTTTTTCTCTTCCTCTGTTTATTTTTATTTTTCTCTTTTGAGATATCCTTCATGTCCTCAGTTTCCATTCACAGAATATGTCAATGGTTTTGTTTGGAAACTTTTTTATCCTGTTATATCTCTTCAATTTGATGTACATGTTACATACAGTGTGCTTCTTGTCCCAGAGGGAATAGGTGAAGCTAAGACTAGGTTCTTGGTTTCTCTTGATGAGAGCTGAGATGAGTCCTGTTAAATATAGTCAATGTGAAGTACAATCCAGTTTGGTGTTTTTGTTCAACTTCTGTTTTCTTCGTAGTGCTTTGGGTGTTGCATTCTTGGTAACTGAACACTAACAGCTTTGTACTAAGGTAGATTTTGGCATCACATCTTGACCGATGTCACAGTAAATGTGCACTTTTCCAATCTTGCCCTGAGGCCACAATGCTTTGAATAATTTTCTTTTTCCATGCTCTCTTTCTCTCTCTTTCTTTCTTTCTTTTTATCAATTCCGTCCTTTTCATTTCATTTTCCCATCTTCGACTTGAATCACTCTCAACGTGCCGTGTTGGTTTATCCACCGCGCGTCCATTCTCTCAGCAAATGAATACAAATGAAGATACTTCTCCAGAGGGGCTGCCAGTTTCATCTGGCGAACAAGGCGACCTAATAGACCATCCCCAGTTCGTAGTCGAAACCAGCTCCTCCCAACCAGTTCTCTTCTGCGACGTCAACCTCTCGCAACGAGATGTCCACAACTGGTCCAAGAAAGATGCTTTTCGCCATTTCTACGTGAACTGGTACCTTCCCATCATTCTTTTCAGATACCCTAACAAGCACTGATGAATAGCCAGGCGCGAAGGAATGAACCAAGTCTTCCAATTCACTTTCCGCCCCTCAATCAACCACACCGAAACCAACGACTTCGTCTACATCAACACCGCACAACCCATCCAAACAGATCCCTCCTGGGGCTTCATCCTCTTCAACAAAGAAAAAGGAATCCTATCTTTCAATATCAGAGACGGCCTGAAGCTCCACAGATACCTCGACCATGGCCAGCTGTCAGTGTCGTCAAACAATCTCCTCAAAGCCGCGATGGTCATGACTCTGGCTGGGTATCAGGTGCGTTTCGAGAGCCGTCAGAATCAGTGGGATTTCTTTTTTGGTGAGACTGGGTCATTCTGTTTTACGAGGAGTTCGTCGACGGAGGATGTGTTTTTAACATCGCTAAATCAGTTTTCGAATGGGAGTGCTCCGCCTGAGAGGGTTTCTACGGAGGATTTGGCTATAACGATTGGCTCTGGAGGATTTGCGGCGCATCGCATGGTTACGCATGAGCAGCTAGTTAAGTGGCTCGGGATTACTATTGAGATAACGAACTTTTTCCAACCGCATCAACTCATCTGTACTCCACACGGTGATATTATCTGTGACCCTGAATTTGTGAACAAGATCTTCGTCAACGGGATTCAAGTCTCGAATCCGAAAGTTGGGTCCTTTCTGTTAGGGTACCATTTCCGCGATGACCAGCTCGCATCTGATGGCGTCTTGGTTCTCTCTGACGACGAGGCGAGGCTGCGGACTCTGATCTGGGAGACAGCTATAAGGGCGAATGCGCAAAATGCCAGAGTGCTTATTGCGCTTCTGAGGCTTAATCCGGGCGCGCTTGATGTCAGGAGAGTGGAAAGGTATCTGGAGATTGAGAGTGCGAGGAGGATTTGGGAGGTGTTGGTGGAGGACTTGGGGAGGGAGAGGATATTTTGTCAGGAGACGGTAACACTTCATCTCGCTCATAACCTTGTTAAAGAGGCTTGCTAATTTGTTTAGGATGACTTGTACGAAGTCAAAAGGCGCACAAGCAGAGAGATTGTGGTCCTGACCAGCGCTCTTTGGTCAATACTCCGTACTCCGCTACTGATTCGCACCTGGACCGAAGAAATCCTCTATAAGGCTCCCCCATCTGAACCCACACTCGACACCCCCTTCGCCATAACAACGAAACGCATCTTCGACACCCTAATCCAACTTGACCCCATAACCGCCAGTCTAACCATAACCTGGGTGGATCATCCCCTCATTTCGCCTCTAGTTTACGCCGACGCAAAGAGCCAGCGCATCGTGCTAAGTAAGTACTGGCTGCACTTTATACACGCACACAACCTTTCCCCATGCAGGCTGAGCGATGTGGCTAGACAACGAAAGGTTAAGTATAACTATCTGCAATGCGACCATATCGTTCTCGCTATGCATAGCAGGATTGTAGAACTCGTTTCCCAACGGCCATGCGGATATTCTCCTGTGCACATGGTAAACTGGGCTATAGCTGTGCAGAAAATGGCTTCTGAGAGGCTCGAGGAGATGCCGAGGTGTGTTGAGGTGGTTAGTGATACTATGGATCCGAGTCGGGTGTTCGTGACGTGGGAGCTAGGGCTGTCGCAACAGGCTGTAAAGTTCGTGCAGAGTGGGTACCATGTTGTGCTTCATAGGAGCGATTGTGTGGTTGCTTTGGTGCAGCTTGTGCATGATGGTGGTGAGTTCTTCTTTCTTTCAACTTGTGGATAATGCTAACATATCTGCAGGAGTAGATGCTTCATCTCCCACAGCACCATGCGGCTGTCTCCATAGGGTCGTTGGCCGACAAGAAACCGAAGCCACGTTTGAAAGCCTCTCTCCCATGCAAGCATACATACCTGTCGTCTCCCTCAACACCAAAAACTCCATATACGCATCCATCACCAAACCCTCAAATCCCAACCGACCAGTCTCTGCATCTCCACCCCAAAAAGCAACAGACCCATCCAAAATTGAAGCAATCCGCCGCAAACACTCGGTGAAATTCAACGAGAACTGGCAGAAAACAACCTTTCCCATCCTATTCGCGCAGTTCACCCCGCGGATTGGCATTACCAGTCCTGGCCCTGAGTTGATTGGTGCTTCTCCGCCTCTTCCCGTGGCTGTTTTGGAGAATCTCCGTCTAAACTTCCGGTTCGAGAGGTCTCAGTACGTTAGTGTACGGGCACATTTGGGCTTGGGGGAAGGAGATGCGGAGCAGTTTATTTTGTACATTCATGGGATCCATGTACCGGGCGCTATGGATCCTTTGCAGGGGGAAGGACGGTTGACTGTGACTGTATTTTCATTCTTGAGGACTACGTCTTTGTGTTTGTTTCATCTGGGTTTGTCATCGCTTGTACAGGGACAGGGGAAGGAGGACGTTGGATTGCGGGAGTTGCTGCTGCATTACCAGAACTTCGATGCGATGGGACATCGACAGGATGCGATTATCTTTCCGATTGAGAGTATCGAGAGTGTTGAAGCTGTCAGCCCAACTTATTTGGGGCCATTTGAGGCCGTGCAGTATACCGTTGATCCTCCTGGTGAGGCCCCCCCTCTATCCATTTAACATACAACACAAGACTAACAGCATAGACCCCTCGCGGACTGGCTACTACTGTCGCTTCGCAGTCCGCTGCAACGGACCACTCGATTCCGCAGTCATGATGCCCGTCGCCTCGCATTTGCTCACCCATTCCAAGCGCTGGCCGGAACCGCAGTATATTTCCGGTGCACCGTCAGTTATTGATTTGACCCCAGGATGTCTAGGGTCAGCGGAAGGGTTTGCGCAGGTTGGTGCGAGGATTGATGCGGCGATGGGGTTTGATGCTGTGAGAAATTGCACGTGGAAGGTATCCATCCTATTCCTTCCTCTACTCCAGGTTGACGGTGCTAACTGACAAAAGGCACGATATCCATACGCCAAAGTCTACGACGGCCCCATCGAAACCGTGCTCAACGACCTCAAAAGAAGAAGACTCAACCAACCCCCCAGCGACCCTCGCAGCCAATCACCAAGAATCATCCTCCTCTCACTCCCTGAAAGGGAAAATGCACTACAGCAATGGGATCGCAGTCTCGAGGATGTAGAGATCTTCCGGAAAATGCCGTTAATTATCTCCGCGTTCACGCAGAGACCTGATTTTCTCGTTCTTTCGCTTCCAACATGGGTTCTTGTCGAGCGCGCGTGGCTTGAGTTGTTTAAGGGGATTTGGACACTTCTGACAAGTCGGTATGCGGTTCATATGCGACATGTTTCTTTTACGGATCATGGGCTGGCTCGTGAGGGGTGCATGCTTGTCATTGTTGCTTCGTGCGTTCCGACGCCGATTCCTTGGGATGATATTTTCGCGACGACAACACCAAACCCGAAAGTCACCGTCCAATCCGTCATCAAAGACCTAGGCTTCTTCAATCCCCGCAACTCCACCGGATTTCAAACCAGCGGCACCGGCATCGGCCTAATCTGCAAAAACCCCCAAACCTCCACCGATGTCTACAACCACCAAACCATCACTCTCAAACCCCCCTCCAATAACCTCCTCCGCCAAGAAAACACCTTAGACACCCCCCTCTCCCTCCCCCGCCTAACCACAACAACCCACCCCATCAACCTCCCCCCACCCCTTCACCCGGCCGGCCCCATCCTCTTCCCCTTCCTCCCCGCCGCGATTCGTCCCCGCCCCGATCTGCCGCACAAGTACACGCAGCCGGTGAAGAACCCACGCGGTGGCGATCTGCTCAGTGTAAGAGAGATTGCGCGCGTGCAGGGGTTTCCGGATGATTTTGTGTTCCTTGGGCAGGTTGAGTGGCAGAGGAGTGAGGTTTTGGGGGCTTGGCCGGTTTCTGTGGGGAGGTTGGTTGCGGTTGGGGTTAGGGGAATTGTTAGGGAGTTTGGTGGGGTTGTTAGTTGTGTTGGTGGGAGATTAAACATGAATGTGAATGCAAATGCTGTTCAGGATACGGGTGCAAATGTGAATGTGAATGCGAATACATGCAAGAATACAAGCGGAAATACTGTTACGAGTACCGGTGGCGAGCAGAAACAGACACAGAGGGGAAAGAAGAGGACCCGGGAAAGTTAGGATACTGTTGTACAGAGTATACAGAGTACAGATAGTGTGTTGGTGATAGCTCCAAAAATACCTGCATCCCTAAGTTGGATATTTATTTCCCAGATCCCAGCGCTCGACAGTTCCTGGTCGCCAAGGATTGTAATATCAGATTATCTGATTTCGGGAGGTCATCGGTAGAAGGGTCAGAGGCTATTGTCATGGAGAATGCCACGCATTTTCCGCCGCGGGATGAGAATTCCCGAATACTGTAGAGAGTGATTTATTTGCGCTTGGGTCTACTGTTTACGAAATTTTTTCTCGCCAAGAAACCCTACGAGGGAATGGGTGGTGAAGAAATCCAGCGCTTGTTTTCCTATAAAGTATTTCCGGTGCTTGATGGAGTTGGGGATCGGGGTTGAGAGGTTGTAGAGATGTTGGATGTGTGAGTATGAACGAGCAGAGAATATTTTCGAGGATGTTCTGTCTGTTTCATAGTTTGAGCACGGCTTCGGCAGAGTCCCGTGCTTCCTTTCGGACTGTCTTGAGTGTGTAATAGCATATAGAGGTGGAGAGATTTCTCACATCGCAGTTCTAAGAGCCTATGTAATGAAGGCTGCACTGTGTCGTCACATAGCAAACAAACTTGGAGCATAGTCTGGCTTTTTACGATCAAGGTCAGGCAAAGGCAGCAAGTAGGACTCTGCTGATTGATTATGGTTAGGGTTATGAGGTACCCGAAATTACGTAGCTATCGGTCCACAGTCCCCCGTTTACCCCAGTTTACTCTTTGTCCATATCGGGCGACGTCCCTCCGAGTGCGATTGCGGGGCATATATATACCCCGGAGTACCCCAAAATACCAATCCTCAATTCTTAACATAAAATCTCCCAACTCAAACAGACACAATCAATACCTACCCTACTATCTAAAGTAAAACCGCCATCATGTCCATGACCTCCACCGACTGCGCCGTCACCCGCGACGGCTTCCCCCGCCCCACACCAAACACACCAACCAATGTCCTCGAGCAACTTTCTCTAAAGGGAAAAACGATCGTTATCACCGGCGCGGCTGACGGAATTGGATATGCAGTCGCCGAGGCCATGGCTGAGGCTGGGGGAGATGTCGCGTTGTGGTATAATTCGTATGTTACCTCCGATTATGAGTGGTGAGGAAAGGGAGCTAATAGGAATAGGAATGATGCTGCGGTTGCAAAGGCGAAGTACTTGGGTGAGACGCATGGGGTTAGGGCGGTTGCTTATAAGGTTGATGGTATGCGCATCTTATATGGGTATAGATATAGATATGGATGGTGCTAACGAGGGTAGTATCGAACTACGATAACGTCCAGCAAACGATGAACGCTGTAGTCAATGACTTCGGAAAGATTGATACTTTCATCGCGAATGCCGGAATGGCTATCTCCAAGCCCCTTCTTGAGCAGACTCTCGACGAGTACCGGAAGCAGATGTCCGTCAACGGTGTGTCACCCACACTCATCTTCCACGAACAAACAGATGATTGACCAAAGAATGCAGTCGACGGCGTCCTCTATTGCGCTAAAGCCGCCGGCACCATCTTCTCCGCCCAAAACTCCGGCAACCTAATAATAACCTCCTCCATGTCCGCACACATCGTCAACGTCCCCGTCGACCAACCTGTCTACAATGCCACAAAAGCATTCATAACGCACCTCGGAAAGTCTCTCGCCCGCGAATGGCGCGAGTTCGCGCGCGTAAATATCGTCTCCCCTGGTTTCTTTGAGACGAAGATGGGGGCTAGCCCGCAGACGGTGCAGGAGGCATATCGGATGGCTGCGCTGGGGCGACAGGGTGATGTTAAGGAGATCAAGGGGTTGTATTTGTATTTGGCGAGTGGGGCGAGTTCGTATATGACGGGGAGTGACGTGGTTATTGATGGGGGTTATACGTTGCCGTAGGACTGTGGGCGGAGCGAGCAATAGGAATTATATTTCGATGTTGATATTCATGCAGCTCAAGAATCTTTCAACCTTTTGATGTAGTTTTTCTTCTCAACAACCCGTTGTAGATATTTACAATTAGATTCTTCATCCGGGCCCCGAGGAAAAGTCAGTATGTCTGCTTTGAATATGGTGTATGGTGCTATTCGCCATGTGTAACCAGGTAGTTTGCCCAAGCAGCATCTGAGTTTTGTAAGAGCTATCTTTTAAACATTTGTATCTCGTTAGGCGCCATAGAGAAAAGGCATGTTTGTCAAAGCATATCGTAGCCAATGTCCATTTTCTCGCCGTTTCAATACTTATCTGCATGAGGATTTTTTCCGTGTCCGTAGTGACCGGGAATGGCTTTATTTCCACTATTATATGACTATTCTCTTCTCATTTTCGGAACGAAAGCATCTGTAAGCGATAGTGTAGGGGATGCAGAACGCACAGGTGGCCGATCTCGATAGAATGTATTCTCTGCTCTCTTCAAGCTGAGGGAATCCTAAATGGACTTCCCCCCTCATTGCTTGGCCTGTAGTTAGCTCTTCGAATTCGATAATTGCTTTGTCACTGTTGTCTGGAAGTACCTGACCCAAGCAGTATTGCTACTTATCTCTGATCCTTTCTTGATCTTTTTGAAGTGTGGCGTATCTCTGTCTCGCAAGAAACGGAGAAGACCATTCCTTTCCTCCAGTGACATAAAGTATAGTCCGCGGCCAGCCCGATCATAGGGTCCATGGCCCCATCTTTGATGGCTCACCTGAATAGGTCCAGAGACCATCGAAGGCTCCGAAATGAGAGGCCCATACGCGGGCTTAATAGTCGTGGATTATTTTGAACCCCTGGGCCTGCGTGCGCATGCGGCTGTTTGCAAAACCCCTTAAGGTCTCCATGCCTCCTAGGCTCCAGGTTTCCACACGAGCGAGACAATGTTGTCGTCCACACTTTAAGATATTTGAAGATCATACGATGATCGACTGACTGGTAGCAGGAGCACGGAGGTTCTGGGCAGCAAAATCCTGGTCTCCCAGCGCTCCTAGCATTGGGACCTCTGCTCTTATTTTCGAAACTCATTGATCACTATGTTCTCTCTGGTGACGGTCACAACACTACAACCCCTTGGCCTTTTTCTGGATGATCCGTTGTGAGTTATTTGGAGTCATAGGGCTGGGAAATAATGATTTTGAGCGGGGAACCAGAACATAAGAGAAAAGAAGGCAAAAAAGATCACAAGAGAGTATCTGCTCAGAGGCAGAGTAGACTGCATCGACATGTAGCAGTCGTGCTCTCAGTGAAGCCTTCTGACGAGGGAACGAAAGGAGATAGACTTCTCTGGCTGTTTTCCAACCACAGCACAATGCCTAAAACATCGTTTTGGAAAACACCCATTGTTTTGGTTTGGGAAGATATATTGCCGCGCATGGTCGAGCCTGTGTCAATGCAGTTCTTGAACCGCGAGTCCGTTCGCAGGCATGAGACCCGGAAAGTCCATTATTGACCTTCGCTGTCTACCATTCACCAGCTATATCAAGCCCATCGCCGTGCGCGCTCCCAGGCCTCTCTAGGGGCCCGTCCGGTGAAGAGCGGGGTTATCCCCATCTTTGAGCTTTGACAGTGTAGCATTCAATCCCCCAATTATTCGCCAGCGATCCAAGTTCTCCAATAACACTTGCACAACAACCAATGCCATCCACCGTAATACTAAGAACCCCCCCCAACCCCCCCTTCCTCTAGGAAGCCCCGCATGCAAGACATAGACATGGCGCAGCGAACAGATGATCTCAGCTGAGTAGGGGCCAATTCGCAGCTACCAGGATTGTTCTCTGGTAATGCGCTATGTGAGCAGCCTAGGCACTTAGCAGGGTGCCTTGGTCAGCCCCGCGGGGTGATGATCCCTGTGATCTTATGCATACGATTGCCGGGTATTAGATGCATCGGAGAATAAACCACATGGAGCACATGTACAAGTACATGTTGTAGATGTTACATTCTCCAGCAGAGGTAGTTATGAACGTAATACGGACTAATGGAGAGTGAATAAAAGTACTTGTAACTCGCTTAGCCGATCCCGTGACCTTGGGCATTTTTTATTCTATACCAACTACTCCGTACTAGTACTTGTCAACCTCGCGTCCCAACATATAATTATTTTTTTTTGTGTTAAATAATTGTCTGGGGCAAACGAAGGCAAAATGAGACCGAAAATGCCTCCACCACACTACGCCTTGCTTTACCCCATGCTTACGATTTTGTTTGTATGCGCTCTATTCTTGTTTGGCACCTTCCTATTCCAATGCAGGGGGCCGTCGCCATTATTATTCACCATCTCAGCCTCGCCCGTCAGCCTGAAATATGTCTGGGATAGCAGCATGCAGTATATATACGGCTCTTTTGCCGGCTTGTCTGGCATATCATTGTCCACAGACGACTTCAATATGCTTTTCAGATCCATTTTTGCCAGCGCGATGATCCTGTTCTCGGGGAGTAGTGTTGTACATGGCGCTAGTTCCCCGGGTTGTGGGAAGGCATTACCTAGAGTGCAGGAAAAGGGTGGGAGCTATTCGACGAATATCACCACGAAGGATGGGCGAAAGCGCTCATATATCATTCATATCCCCTCGAACTATGATGAGAACAAGCCGGTGCCGGTGATCTTCTCGTTTCATGGACGGACGCGGACGGCGGAGTCGCAGGAAGCACTGTCACTGTTTAGCAATGAAGAATATAATCCGGATGCGATTGCAGTATATCCCCAGGGTATCAAGGTATGTCTCTGTGTGTGGGTTGGTGATAGGTGAAGGGTTGAAGTTGACATGTGCAGAACCAATGGCAAGGCGACCCCAACTCCCAAGGGATTAACGACATCAGCTTCACCCTGCAAATGCTCGACCACTTTGAAGACCGTTACTGCATCGACCGAACCCGTGTCTATGCCGCGGGTAAATCCAACGGCGGCGGCCTGACCAATCTGCTCGCCTGCGACCCAACAGCCTCCAAACGATTTGCAGCCTTTGCCCCCGTCGCGGGTGCATACTACCAAAACGTCACGGAGGACGACTGCAAACCTAACACGGTGAATATCCAGTGTAATCCCGGCCGCACACCGATTCCCATGCTCGTATTCCACGGCACCGCGGACGAAACGATCCAGTATAATGGGGGCGGCAGACGCGGGAAGTGTTTGCCTTCAGTACCGCATTTTGTGCGAGAATGGGCTGGACGCGATGATCTTGGGGGGAAGAACGAGACGACGACGACGGACGCCGGGAAGGTAGAGACTTCGAGGTTCGGGGACCATGGGGAGGTGGTGCATTATCGGATTGAGGGGTTAGGACATGCGTGGCCGAGCACGGAGCCGAACAGTGATAATCCGGATGGGACGTATGTGGACGCGACGCCGCTAATCATGGGATTTTTCGACCAGTGGACGTTATGATGATCAGGGTCTGTCATGATAAGAGTGTACGATAGAATAATGAACGACAATAATGGAGTACCTTGGATGCTCGAGCCGTACCGCCCCTATCGACAGGCCCCGACAGTCCCAACTGCCACAGCCGTACAGAGTAGGCCGGAGAGAAGCCAAGAAGCCACTACGGCATAAAGTTTAGCCAAGGAGTAACAGTTATTATTCGGCCGAAAATCGCACCCATTATCAGGCCGCATCTGCGCTAGACAGAGCGTTTCTACTAGTCTACTAGTACAAGTAGAAAATTCACATGGCAATCGCCGGGATGAACACACAGACGGATTATCCTCCAACGCCAGTGCCAACCACGAGTCGAGATTGTCACCCAATCCCAAAGACCGGAAAGTGTCCAAGTGTTTAACTGGTCCATCCGCCAAGCACACACGGCTGGGAGATTGGCAATGGCTGACGTTGCCCCCTGTGGTAGAGACAAGGATCGCTGGTGTGCTGATCGGACGGTTAATTGAGGTTATTCTATGATGTTTTGGAGTAGTAGAACTCCGTAACCAGCGAGTCTTGCTTGACATATTCCTGTTCGGTTTCGGTCAGCAATGCTGTGATGAATCAGTTCGGGGGAATTTTCTTGTCCGGGTGGAGAGAGCATGGAAAAGGTGGTACCCAGTGTGTTATGGAGCATCGGAAGAATCCAACTGGTCTATGGGTACAAGTATGGGTGTGGATGATTGCCAGAATAATCTCTGCGATGTTATCCCTGACATTCCCCGAGACTGGCACTGCCAGAGAATTAGGTTTGCCGTGATCTGCACCAAAATAACACGCATCAAAGGAAGAAAGTTCCAGTTGGAGCCGGTCCAACCAAACCCAAGCGCACAGCAGTGGCCGGCTGCACGCCGAAAGTGATGATGGCACTACCACTGCCGAAAAGACGCACTAAAACACGGCCAGAGATTTCGGACCGGCCAGTCACAGCAATTAAACCGTACTAAGGTTCCGTCTGGGAAAGAAAGGTTTCTGGAAGCGTCCACAGTTAATTGGAACTAGCCCGGAGTTAAAGGTTAGCCAGCCATGTTTTGTACCGGAAACCAGCCAACGCCATGGCCAGGGCTATTAACGCTAAACCTATGTAAGTGCGTGGAACTACCGGAGGACAGGCATCCCCATCCCACAAGATTGCAGCCATCCAGTGGCGAGGCGATGGAGTCGGCCAACAGAGTTTGGGTAAGTGGTTAACGATGCGTGATTTTGTGCGTCTGTCCTGAGTGATGTCTCGATGGAGTACGAACTGCTGTCTCTGACTCTAGTCTACTGGCTACGCTATTCCGTACCTTGTCTCTATCAATCCATCCAGTAAACCGAGGCACGGAGAGGCTCCGGCAGAGCACAGAACGCCGTCATGATCAACCACTAGGGTCGATCAGTGGACGGACCGATTCCTGAGTTTTGTGGCGAGCGTGTGCTTCTTCTCCGGAGTGTGTAGTGTGTGCTATGTAAGGAGTAGTAGTTGTATTGTAGTAGTATCGGCAACGGAAAGTAGATGCTCATGTCTGTATAAGACCACAAGATACTCTACCGCACTCCCGGTAATGAAGTAGCCAAACTCTAGTTACAAACCCCTAAACGGGGCCCCTAAAAACCGGCGCTTCTCCCGCCCCTAAAGTTCCGCCCCACTGGCCAAGGTCGATTATTTCATTTTGTTCTCGTTCTTGGGATTTTCTCCCACAACTTTGACCACTTTTACAACTACTACTATGTAGGAACTCCATTAACATCGCTGATCTTCCTGCTTATATCCTTTGTGTCTTTTTATATCTTCCCTTTACTCCGGTTCTATCCACCCACCACCCACGCGACAGTTTATGGCCTCTCCGGCTGCTTCCTTCTCTCATCGCTAATCTCGCGCATCTCTATGTCTCTCCCTCCTCGTTCCTCCTCAATCCTTCTATACCTTTTATTTTTCGACCGTCTCTCCTCATGGAGATTCACACGACCGTATTTGCTCCGGTAATGGCTCCCCCGCCCTCCTCGTCCTCTTCCTCCTCTTCCGCCGCCGCCGCATCTTCTTCCGCAGCTCCCGCAGTTGCTCCTCCTTCCGCCTCCGCGACGACGACGCCCTCTACAGCTCCTGCCCCGGCCTCGACACCCTCAGGCCAAGAGCCGAAGAAACGAGTTCGCCGATGGCACCATCGTGGATTCACCGGGTGTTCCACCTGTCGTCGACGTCATGTCCGCTGCGATGAGGCTTCGCCGTCGTGCCGGAATTGTACTCGCTTAGGACTTGAATGCGATGGCACACAGGGCCGGATGACCTTTAAGGTCTATGGGCCATCGCAGGCCTCACAGGATACCACGCCTAAGCCAGCACCGAAGAAGCGCGGCAAAAAGGCCGCCGGTGCGAATGAGTCTGCCGGCGGCGGCAAACAGGCCATCATCAAGAAAGAAGACGATGAGGAGGATAAAGATGGCGTGGATGCGGTCGTGGTGTCTCCAACTACCGTTTCTCAATCCGCCCCTACCCGATACCAATTCCAAGATCCCTTCCGGCTGGTGACGATGAACAATCCCTTAGACACCAAGGATGTCCGGTATTACTCGCACTTCATCGACCAGGTCGCATCGCTACTCCTGATCTACGACAATAATATCAATGTTAACCCGTACCGGCGCTATTTCCCGGAAATGGCGCGCGACTCGCCATCCATGGCCAGTGCGATGCAGGCTCTTGGGGCGTTACATTTGGCCAATACGTCGCAGGGTCAACAGCGGATTGAACATTTCCAGCAGGCCATGGGACAGTATGGGGAGGTCGTCAAGTCATTCCGGACGAGATATACCGAGCCTGATACACAGTTAGGATTGACTGACTTTGCGACTTGTTTATTATTATCTTTGTTCGAGGTTAGTCTTTTCCCTTCATTTCTGATATAGCCAGAGAACTGATCGAGCAGATGATGGACTCGCAACACGATAATTGGACCATCCACCTGAAGGGCGCCCGTGAAATTTGCAAAATCCTCTTCTTCCAAAAGTCAACCGATCCCTCTCAAGAAGCCCAGCGACTCACCGAAATGAACCACCCCCTCCGACACTTCCTCATTTCCCTCCTCTCCTATCTTGACGTGGCCGGCGCATGTGCGACCAGCGACGGCACCGTCGTCGAAGGCAGCTACTGGCGGCAATATGCAGGCGGCTGGGAGTACAACCTGGGCATTCCCAGTTTATCGTCGAACACACCGCCCAGTGAGCAGATACTAGTCGAGCTACGGAACTGCTGGTCGGTAATGATGGAGATTCAAGCATCCATCAGCTCATTCGGACGAGCCAAACACGAAAATCAACTCGCTCCTACACAGCAAGATATGATCTACGGCAACCTGCTCAACCGCCTCCTGAACTGGCGGGCCACAGCGCCCGAATGCATGCAAGTCCTGGGCGGACTCGACGAAGCTAGTCTAGAGCATTATCCCTATATGGAAATCCTCGAATACGTAGGATGCATCGAAGCATACGAAAAAGCGACCGTGATCTACCTACACAAAGTGGTAGCAGCGAACCGCCCCGAGCGGCAAACCGAAGGCCCATTACTACAGATGCTGGCCTCGCGGATCCTCCAATTGATCGAAAAATGTGCTAACGGCGTGGGACGGCTGGCAGCTCTGTGGCCTCTGTTCACGGCGGGTCGTGAAACGCACGATGTGACAGAACAGGCGTATGTGCAGCAAACGATGCAGGAGCTGCAGCGCTACGGGTTCAAAGTGAGTTTTCCCCCTGTTCTTAGCTTGAATCTAATCTAGGCAGACACTAATGTGGAAATAGAACGTCGACAAAGGACTGGAAGAACTGGAGCGGGTGTGGTTCAAGCGACGGATGTTCCCCGAGGGTTGGATCGAGACGATGGACGATATCCGCACGTCGGTTTTGATTCCTTAAGTCTCCCTCTTTTTTCTTTTCTTTTCTGTTCTTTCTATTCCATAGAGTATTTATTGTAAATAGGCCTTGGGTGGGAGGGCTGGACCCTTACGAGCAACGACTGTATAGCGAGTATAGACAACAACAATATCCTTCTACGAGCACTCCGTACGTCCAAGTGTTTAGTATTACTCTGTAGTATCTAAGGAGAAAGAGGTTTAATTATCGCCAATCCTAATAAAATAACATCCGCACTGACAGCGGACCAGAAAGCTCCGTTTTCGTACGTTGTATAATTTTAAGTGAAAAAAAAGTGGTGAATTTTTCCGGTAAGTGGAGTTCCATCCGGCTGTATGTCTTGGCCATATATTATCAGATCCCTATCTTTACATTTACAAGCATATTATTCTGCACAAGTGTACGGAGTATATATCACTGTAGAATAGAACAAGATAGAGATGGCGGCACCGTCAGCTCTGGTCTACGACGACAGCAACCCGGCGCAGAGCCAGGATGCGCTGCCCTCCGATGGCGAGGGCGACCGCGCTCAGAATGAGGCTGTCGATGATGCGGCTTTACTGGTATTCCATTCACCACTATATTCCTATATCTTCGGGATGTATGCTAACGAAGACATAGAAAACGATGGGATACAAGCCTGTACACACTCTCCCGTTTCTTCCGGGGATGCTGATGTATGGGATGGAATGCTAATGGGCTATAGGTGCTTCATCGGACGTATACGCTTTTTGAAAATTTTGCGACAACATTTGGTTAGCCCCCTCTTTTATATTTAAACGAGGGAAGAATATACTAATGGAGATAGCTGCGCTGTACTTCGTTGGCGGCGTCCGAGTAACATTCAGCACCGGTATCGCTGCCGGTGGGAACCTAGCATACTGGTACCTCCCATTCCCCATCTATGCCAATCAATCTCAATACTAACAAAGAAACAGGACAAGTTACCTCGTAACTATGGTATTCACATACATCACCGCCGCCGTTATTGCAGAAGTATGTTCTGCTTCGCCGTCCGCTGGCTCGATTTATCTCTGGGCTGCGGAGGCCGGAGGGCCACGGTTTGGTCGGCTGTTGGGGTTTGTTGTTGCTTGGTGGAGTACGACTGCTTGGACGACATTTTGTGCTAGTATGCCCTCGTCTGACAGCCTGAGGTTGGGGTTGATGTGGTGCTGACAGCGACCAGGTAATACGCAGAGTGCGGCGAACTATCTGTTATCGGTAAGTATGCATGATGGATTGTGGTGAATGGTGATGAATGGAGCTAATGGAGTAGGAAATGACGGTGTTTAACGTCGACTTTCCCACCGAGACAACGGATGTCAAGTTCCGGACTCTACAGTGGATCGTTACGGAGGTTTTGCTCGCGTTTGCTGCGTTGTTGAACTTCATGCCTCGTATGCCACCCCTCTCTATACATCGATATGCACAGCAACAGGATGCTAACACACGCAGCCCGCGTCTTCCGCTGGGTCTTCTACTTCTCCTCCTTCGTCGTCCTCCTCGACTTTTTCCTAAACCTAATCTGGCTCCCCATCGGCACAGCCCAAACCTGGGGCTTCCGCACCGCCGAAGAAGCCTTCATGACGACGTACAACGGCACCGGCGCCCCCGCGGGCTGGAACTGGTGTTTATCGTATCTGGCTACGGCGGGTGTGTTGATTGGGTTCGATGCTTCGGGGCATGTCGCTGAGGAGACTAAGAATGCGAGTATCTCGGCTGCGAGGGGGATTTTTTGGAGTACGGTTGTCAGTGGGGTTGGAGGGCTGGCTACTGTTATTCTTTTCCTTTTTTGTGCGGTACGTTTCCCCTGGTGTTTTGAGAAGGTGATAGTGGTGGTGTGCTAATGGTGTAGCCTGATCCCACGACGCTATTCTCGTTTGGCTCGCCTCAGCCGTTTGTTCCGCTTTATGCTGTGGTTCTTGGTCGTGGTGGACATATCTTCATGAATATCGTCTGCATCCTTGCCCTATGGCTGGTAAGCCTCCCGCCCCCTCCAGTCTTCACTCCGGCGACCCTAACGAAGGAACAGAACACGGCAGTAGCAATAACAGCCGCCTCGCGCCTCGTCTTTGCCGTAGCCCGCGACGGTGTCCTCCCTTTCTCCTCATGGGTCTCCCGCGTGCACTCCGGCCAACCCCGCAACGCCGTAATCGTCGTCTGGGTCGTTGCCGCAATCATCACCTGCACGCTCCTCGCGTCCAATGTCGCTTTCACATCGCTCGTTTCTGCGGCTGGTGTTCCCAGCGCTGCTGCGTATGGGCTCATATGTCTGGGTAGATTGGTTTGTACCCCCAAGAGGTTCCCGAAGCCACAGTGGAGTCTGGGGCGGTGGAGTAAGGTGTTCCAGTTTATTGGTGTTTTCTGGAATGGGTGGGTTGTTGCGGTGTTGTTTTCGCCGTATGAGTTTCCTGTGTCTGGGGAGAATTTGAATTGTAAGTCTATCCCTGTGCTCGAGTTGAGTTGTGAGGGTGAAGCTGACTATGACAGACGCACCGATTATCATGGCTGCTGTTACGATCTTGGCACTAGTCTCATACTTTATCATGCCCGAGGAGTCGTGGTTGCCTAGGAACCGCATCTCGCATTTCATTGATAGCAAGGGTGTTGCTGGTGTGCAGGAGACGGTTGAGGAGATCCACGCCGGCCGTCGTGACGGACAAGAGACTGAGGGTGAGGGTGAGGGCGATGGAGAACCGGGACCATCCGAATCGAGATGATGTCGGTGCTGATGCCGACACACATATAAAAGTTTAATGTTGGATAAAAGTGATAAATTAGATCGTTATACATCATGTTTGAAGCCGTGAAACAAGTAACGGATCAATTTTGGTAAATTTCCCATCCTGAGCATCTACATAGGTAATGGCAATCGCAATATGCTGCTACCGGACAGCAGCATCATGCCCTGTCCAATATCGCTTGGAGATGGTTGTATCTTGTAGTTGTTGATGAACAAAAGGGAAGACACGTATAAAACAGTGCAGATTCTGAGAAGGCCGATTCGGATGGACTTGCTACCCTCGGGAGAGCACCACCAGAAGGAGAACGTGCCGCGGGATCGAGCATCACCGGAGGCAGTAGCAGACCAGTTGACGTGGTCAATGCCCAGGGGAAAGGATATGAGTCAGAGGATGGACGTGTGGCGGTGGAGAATAGAGGAGAGCCGGTCAAGGAATGCTGTAAGCTTGTTCTGGGATGGGATGGATGGTTGGGGTCAGTTCTGTCCAGAAACCCGTTCAGGGGTGTCAGCGTCTCGGGCCTATGGTGGAGCCATGTTGAATGCTTGTTTTTATAGTGTTCCGGGCAAAGGCGCAGATTATGGTTGAGAGCCAGAGCCATAGGATTAAAAATAAGGTATCAGAGTGTTTCGTCATTATGGAATGTCTGCTTCCAATATCCGAGAAGCCCGGGCCTTAGTGGGCGTTCCAAGCGAGTCTGGTTTGAAAACCCATCTCGAGGACTGTGACAAACTTAAACAGACCCTTGATAATGATGTGCCATACCTCAATGTCGTGCAAGATAGGTTGGCTGACGGGTTTTCGTTTTCAAAAGAGGCCTGCCACGACGCGACGCTAGAATCAATGGCAACTATCGCAAATGAAGAAGATCAAATTCGTCGTTTCAAAACTGGAATTGGGAACATTAAAGGTGTGGCTGACCATGTGTCGGGAACATACTGTGCCATTCCTTCACGCACATACGAGCATGGAGCCTTATTTGTAATGGACTGGGCGCTATTGAAAGTACTAGGTAACCGGCTTGAGAGCAATGGCATGCAAACATATGGTCCGATACCGGAGAATTTTCCAAGGGTCAACGACGACACGCTGCATAGCGAGGGCGTATGTACGCCCAGAAAAAATACCGAAGTATTCAAAGTTGGCAGGACGACCGGCTAGACCACCGGAAGATGGTCAGATGTAAGACACGCGGAGATCATGAATTCACGCAAGTGACATTTAAAAAAAACTGTCTCGTGATCAAGGTTTAATGAGCTATTCTCCCTTCCCAGAGACTCTGGGGCCTTGGTGTTTAACAATCGGCGAGTCGTTGGAATGATCTTTGGTGGTCTTGTCCACGAGTCAATCTCATACATGTCCCATGCCAAAGACTTCTTCACAGATATCAAGGAACGGGCGAATGGGGAGAATATCGGGGTTATGGAGAAAACGGTTTGTGAACGCAAAGGCCGGGATGGCAACGAGGACAAAGGCGGTGGTAAGGGCAAAGGCCGGGACAATTAGGGCAGGGACCAACGTGACCGCGCCAAAAAGAAAAGTAGGGTCATCGATGACGAGTGAATGTTTCCTACCCAGTGAACATTGATAAGCTCACCACTTTTGCTTTTGTTTGAGAAAAAAAAAGAAAAAAAAAAAGAACCGTGATAACCCCTTCGCTCGAGCAAAAAAGCTCGAACTTAGCGTTTCAAGACGGACCACAAGCACCACCTCGGGCATGTTATCCGTGCGTCGGGGACAAACAGACACGCCCCTTCGAGATTTTGGACGGATGGTCTCCAACAATAATGGACTGGGCCCTCATTGCCGTCCCAGAGCGATACAAGACCAGCAAGGCCAATTCGTTCCTGGGTGCTCTTACATCAAACTCCAGGGCTAATTTATCATTGATCCCTGTTTACGGGGTAGATGACTGGTCCCTCTAACGAGGGCCCTAGTCCTAGGCTACGACAACAGAGAACCCTTTACAAATGCGGGTGAGCGACGGGCTACACTGAAGGTCGATATTCCGGTCTCAAGCACGCAAGAATTGTCACCCATATTGCCAATGGCCAGGAGACGAGGGAACTACTTATAGGCACATCACCGGACGCCAGAATCAGCCCTTTCCATGCCCGGTGGCACAGGAGCCCTTGCTTTTACTAGAGACTTCGCGTAACGGGTATGGTGGTTGCAGGCATGGAACTGGGGCCTATCGATTTCATCACGTATGTTGGTGATCTTTTTGCTGATATCAAGGCAAGTACAGGGGCTGACGGTTAGGGTTCTTGGTATGTAGCTTATGATGGATCGTATGGATATGGAGCGAACTACTGCGCCGGAGAGTTTAAATGACCAGAGAAGCTGGCACCGCCGGATCCGGGTCCCAGCCAGTCAACGGCACGCGGTAGATAGGAAGCTACCTGAAATGTGGAATAGCTTGGGATATGTAGAATCAAAAAGGAGACTGGCATAATACTTTCTGGGTCTATGCACCAGTCCCAGATGATCGAAGTGTGGGAAATTTCGTAATGATTGCTATGCGTTCAAAATTGGCCAAATCAGTTCTGATTAGCGAGGCTCTACCGTATTGCTTTTGGCCCATGTTTTCCCATTTGATTCCATTGAACCAATTCCACTAGACCAGATGGCTAATGAGCCGTAAACTTACCCCATTTAGAAAGTGGTTCGTGTAAGATGTCAGATATACCCCGCATCGGTTGTCGGTTATGGTGTAGAAGTTCGGAGAGAACATCGAATAATACAAATATTGAAAAAGGTATTGTACGTGGCGTTGGTCGAGTAAAGCTAACAAATACAATTCTCTGAAGAACTGCCGTACGAACCAATTAGCGAGATTTGATAGCATTCACGGCGTAGAATCCCCGCATCGAGTAGCACCGTGCAGGATATCTCTTAAAGAATCCCCCCCCTCTTTTGATCGGCCAGTATTGAAGGGGATTACATAGTATTTATCTACAGGTCGTACGGGCGTATTGATCTGGTCTGACATCCGTTCTCCCTCTTTCCTACCACTACTCTGTATCAACACTGTCTACACCAGAAAATGACCCTCGTTCAAGGTAACAGGCTTCAAGGCAAAGTCGCAATCGTCACCGGTACATTTTCACTGCTATCTTAGGATTTACACTTAACTAACACAGAGCAGGAGGAGGTTCCGGATTCGGTGCGGCCATCGCCCGTCGCTTCGGCGAAGAAGGCGCCAAAGTTGTCATCGCCGATATCAACACCGAAGGAGGCCAGAATGTCGCGTCGCAGAATCCCTCGAGCCTCATTTTTCAAAAGCAGGACGTGACAAATGCAGAGGACTGGAAGAGTGTGGTTGATTTGGCGTTTGAGAGGTTTGGACGGTTGGATGTGTTGGTTAATAATGCTGGGACGACGTATCGGAATAAGGTTAGTATCCTACCAGAACATACCAACTTGTTTGGAAAGTCTGCTAAATGGAACAGCCCACACTGGAAGTCACCGAAGAAGAGTGGGAGCGCGTCTTCAAGGTCAACGTCAAGGGCATTTTCCACGGCAGTCAGGCCTTCGTGCACCGTGTTATCGAACAAGGACAGGGCGGTTCCATAATCAACATTTCATCCACAGGTGCATCACGGCCACGACCGGGTCTCGTTTGGTACAATGCATCCAAGGGTGCTGTGTCGAATGTATGTCCCACATCCCATAACATGCGGAGCAACACTGCTAACTAACCATCACAGGCCACTAAAGGTCTCGCAGCCGAATACGGCCCACATAACATCCGTGTCAACGCCGTAGCTCCTCTGCTCAGCGGAACGGGCCTTTTCTCCATGTTCACTGGTCTTGAGGATACCCCGGAGAACCGGGAGAAGTTCCTCGGGAATGTACCGTTGGGACGATTGACGGAGGTGGAAGATGTGGCTAATATGTGTTTGTATCTTGCGAGTGACGAGGGGAGATTTATTAACGGGACTGAGCTGGTGGTTGATGGTGGGAAGTGTATTTAATGTGCTGGTGACTTGATGCTCATTTTTGTTTTGAAAACGGAGTACTGTAGTCCTATCGTAGTCGCCTGAACTCCTGCCCTGACTGCGGCCTAATAAACACTGAAAATGGAAGCATAATGATATCTGCCTGTGAGTCACGAGTCTGACGAGGCTGAATCCCGTGATTTACGCTCGTTCCTTTTTTAAATTGCTGCCTTTCTCCCTCCCTCCTATTTTCCACCATCAACAACTTCATCATGGTCTTCGGAAAGATGACAAACCTGTTCCCTTATGTTGCATGCGGATGCCGCTACATGGACCATAGCCATGGTGGTGATTGGCGATACTTCCCCCAGGTCTCTCTGCAGACCCATGCGACTATCCTGTCCTCAATCTCCCGAACAGTCCTGACCCAGACCTTCACCAATCCCTCTGTCACGCCTGTTAAAGAAGTCTCGTACACCTTTCCTTTGTATGATGGCGTAAGCGTCGTGGGATTCACCTGCCGGGTTGGCGACCGGGTTCTTCACAGTCAAGTCAAAACAAAAGAGCAAGCCAGTGAAGATTATACCCAGGCCATACAACAGAGTCAATCGGCAAGTATCCTCAACCACTCTGACAGCACCAGGGACGTCCTCACCATCCGGCTGGGGAATGTCAACGCAGGTGAGCAGGTGGTTGTCGAGATAACCTTTGTTGGCGATCTAAAGCAGGATACCCAGGCAGACGGTGTTCGCTATACTATTCCAAATGCGATCGCCCCGCGGTATGGTGAAGGATTGGCTCCTTCATCGCCCTTTACACGACAAGCTCAGAATCAAGGCATCTCGATCACGGTGGATGTCCTCATGGAAAAGCCTTCGGTGATCCGGGAAATTCAGTCTCCCAGCCATCCGATCAGAGTGTCGCTTGGTCGTATGTCTACAGAGAGTACTTCGGTCTTTGAGGCCAATCAGGCATCTTGTAGTCTACAGCTAACTGGGAATGTCCCGTTGGAACGAGACTTTGTTGTCGTTGTCAATGCTGACAGCCAAGATCTCCCCCATGCTCTGTTGGAAGAACATCCCACCATTCCTGGTCAGAAAGCTTTGATTATGACTATGGTTCCCAAGTTCAGCCTCCCCCCTATTTACCCTGAAATCATGTTTGTCATTGACCGGAGCGGGAGCATGAGGGACAAAATTCCGTCGCTCAAGTCCGCGCTGATAGTCTTCCTCAAGTCGCTTCCTGTTGGCGTTTGCTTCAATATTTGCTCCTTCGGTACGCATTACAGCTTCCTGTGGCAAAAGAGCGTTCCATATGACAGTGCGAGCTTGCAATATGCCATGCAGTTTGTCGAGAGTATCAGTTCGAACATGGGCGGCACTGAAATACAGGGCGCAGTCGAAGCGACAGTTGCAAACCGCTTGGAAGGCAAATTGCTTGAAGTTATAATCCTCACTGACGGTCAAACATCGGACCAGGACTCCCTTTTTTCATTTGTCCGGCAGGCGTCCGCAGGCAACCACGCCCGCTTCTTCTCGCTGGGAATCGGCAATGCAGCATCCCACTCTCTGATTGAAGGCGTTGCTAGAGCAGGAAATGGATTCAGTCAGTCAGTGTTTGAATACGAAGAATTGTCGAAAAAGATCGTTCGCATGTTGAAGGGTGCCCTTTTGCCTCATATCTACAACTACAAACTCGAGGTTGAATTCGACGGTACCGACGTCCCCGACATCACCGCAGCTACCGAAACCACAGACGAATTTGAGATTGTCGAAGATGTTTCAGAATCCGAATCCGCAACAGAGCGAGGAACAGTGGCTACTCCCAGTGAATCTCCTGAACATGAACCGCAAAAGCCCATCTCCTTATTCGACAACGACTACAAAGAACCCGAAATAAAACCCTCCAAGATCGATCTTCCAAAACTGACGCCACCTGATCTTCTTCAAGCACCATGGAAGATTCCGACTCTATACCCTCTTATTCGTTCGACGATCTGCATCCTTTTAGACCCCCGGCTTTCCAACCGTAACCCGCAAGCCCTAACTCTTCGAGCCACCTCCGAGCATGGCGCTCTCGAACTCAAGATCCCAATCCAAAGCATTGGAAAAGGCGAAACAATTCACCAAATCGCATCTCGAAAGGCAGTTGTCGAACTGGAAGAAGGCCATGGTTGGATTGAGGACGCCAAAGACAGCAATGGACGCCTCACCGAGGACCTCTCCCCCGAAATACAACGCCAACTCACCATTCAAGAGTGCCAGAATTTGGGCATCAAATACCAGGTTACCGGGAAACACTGCTCCTTCGTCGCGCTGGACGAGAACGGCAATGAACAGCCAAAGCAGCCCGAGTCCAGATTTGGAAAAGAGGAATATGCTGCTGCGTCGGCGAATTCAGGTGGAAAAGCCAAGAAAGCACGCGGTCGTCTTGGAAGTACCGCATTCAGACAGCAGGCGGTTCCTAATCTTTTTGCTGGGGTTGCACCACCTCCAGCCTGCTCTGTATCAGGCGGTTCTCTCTTTGGCGTGACTGCAGTGCCCAGAGAACCCACCGCTGCCTCTTCGTCAAGCAGAAGTATGTTTGGCAATGCTCCTGCGCCTTATTCATCTTTTCAGTTTCAACATGCACCAGCCGCTTCTCCTCCTACAACAGACTATGGTCTTTTTGCAAGTACGTCCGCATTGTCTTCAACACTGTTCAGAGCACCTCCAGGCCCCGCTGTGTCAATTGGAACTGGCCTCTTCGGTACTCCTGCCCCATCTTCCTCGTTGCCATTCGGAACGTCATCCGCCGCTGCTACATCTGCCGGTAGTCTCTTTGGTGCCGCCCAACCCGCCCACCCCTCGCCAGCAGCCCAAACCTCCACCCTCGACGGAATCATCAAACTGCAAACCTTCGACGGCTCTTGGAACTGGACCAAAGAACTCACCGAGCTCCTCTCCATCGACGAAAACAACTTCCGCGAGAAGCTCAGTGCGCGGATCAAACAAAACCATGATATCGAGCTTCTGTGGAGACAGTCGCTCCCCAATTTTATTGCTACGATGCTCGTGATGAGGTATTTGGAGCAAAAGGCTACTCAGGATAAGGCTGTTTGGGAGCTTGTGTATGAAAAAGCGGAAGGATGGATCCAGAGACAGTCCTTGTGGAGGATTCCGAAAATTTTCGAGGCGTGCACAGAGGTTGCTGAGGTTTTTGTTTGATCTGGGTTACGGAGTAATGAGGTTGTTTGGCTCCGTGGCTGTGGTAGTTAATCTAGTTTGGTAATGAATGAACTTCGTTAAAAAATACATCCTCGGTCAGCCCAAAGGACCAATTGATAAACTATAGTGCAAACGAGTGTACCACTCTAGAAGCCGTTGGCAAAACAGCAAGTCACTGAACAGACAATTAAGAAGCAAAAGCAGAGATTCCTGTGCCAAAAACACACATGAATTTGTTGATATAATTACCCTAGATGTAATTAAAATAACGAGAGAATGTGTCTTAGTTAAATCAGTCTCATTATCATGTATAGAATGACGGAGTTTTTCTGTCCATTACCGCTTTAAAGGTAGGTAAAAGACACCAGTGAACGCATCAAAGGCACGAAATTCAAATGTTTTGGCACAGTACAGGACCTGTGGGATAAAATCTTATGAAATTTACTGATAAGCTAGCCGTAAGATGGAATTTTTTCAAGGTTCTGTCATTATATATACTTTTCGAACTAGGGCTCCCAGTAAAACACTCTCACCAGTGATGTCACACAGTATCTTTTGAGATGATTCACTGAATAACGTAATTCACAAGCGAGTGGGCCACACAAGCGAGTGGGCCACCAAACGCGAAACACGTCGGTTTTATATACCCTTCCTTCTTCAACCACCCACCATGCCACCAATTCGCTCTCAAAGCTCTCGGTATTCACTAGAGCAGGAGGGTAGGATCTTATTAGCTATTCAGGCTATTAAGAATCAAGAAGTTAGCTCTATTCGCGAAGCAGCACACCACTTTCAAGTGCCTTGCTCTACTTTACAACGCCGCCTTGCTGGTGACGTCTTTCGCCCTGAATCACGCGCCAATAACCATAGATTGTCTCAAACAGAAGAGGAATCACTTGTAAAATGGATTCTCTCAATGGATTCCCGCGGAGCAGCGCCTCGGCCTACTGCTGTACAAGAAATGGCCAATCTTTTACTCGCGGCTCGTGGATCTACCCCAGTTCAAACAGTTGGCAAGAATTGGGTTACAAACTTTGTGAAAAGGCATTCTGAGCTTTCAACCCGATTCTCAAGGCGCGAAAAGGCATTCTGAGCTTTCAACCCGATTCTCAAGGCGCTATAATTACGAGCGTGCAAAGTGTGAAGACCCAAAAATCATTCAAGAGTGGTTTAATTGTGTGCAACATACAATACTTCAATATGGCATTGACCCTGATGATATCTACAACTTCGATGAGACTGGCTTTGCAATGGGCTTAACTGCAACTGCAAAAGTGATTACAAGGTCTGAATACTATGGTCGGCGACCCCTTTTACAACCTGGAAATCGTGAATGGGCCACTGCAATTGAGGCAATAAGCGCGTCAGGCTGGGCCTTGCCTCCATGCATCATTTTCAAAGGCAAGGTCTTTATTGAGGGTTGGTTTGACAATGTACCAGGTGATTGGCTCTTTGAAGTTAGCCCAAATGGATGGACTTCTGATGAAATCGGGCTTCAGTGGCTCCAAAAAATTTTCATTCCATCAACAATCACTCGTACAAAAGGGAGGTATCGGCTTTTGATCCTTGATGGCCATGGTAGTCATTTGACACCAAAATTCGACGAAATTTGCGATCAAAATGATATTATCCCAATTTGTATGCCAGCACATTCATCACATCTTTTACAGCCACTTGATATTGGTTGTTTTGCAGTGTTAAAGCGATCATATGGTCAGCTTGTTGAAACCAAAATGCGTCTTGGGATCAACCATATCGACAAATTAGACTTCCTTGAGGCCTACCCACACGCACGAATTGAAGCTTTCAAACCCAACACCATCAAAAATAGCTTCACGGCAACTGGCTTAGTGCCTTTTGACCCTGATCGGGTGCTTTCAAAGCTCAACATTCAGCTTCGTACGCCAACCCCCCCTGGAAGCCGGGATAGTGATTGGGAGCCAAAAACGCCTTTGAACTATAAGCAATTACAAAAGCAATCCTCATCAATCAAAGCATTGCTCCGTATGAGATCAAGAAGCCCACCAAGTCCACTTAATACCGCGATAAATCAGATTCTTAAAGCGTGCCAAATCGGTATGCAATCAGCTGCTATTCTTGAGAAAGAAGTAAGTGAATTACGGGCTGCAAATGAGAAACAGAAGCAAAAGCGTACACGGTCTAAAAGGCAGATACCCCATGAAGGTGGCCTTTTAGCTCAGGAGGCTGTTGAGCTAATTGAGACCCCGATTGAGGTCCCAATAGCTCCAGCTGTAACGGCTCAGCTCAGCGCCTTCATCAGCAAACATCATCAACACGGCAAACAATGTCATGGAAGCAACCAAGACAAACAAGCTGCTTAGCGAGACCACACACAAACATATAGGACTTCTTCATGTAAATAGATTTGCCTCTTCTCTTTTCTTCTCCAGATTCGATATTCTAGTCGATGGCTACACTGGTTAGATAGGAATATCATTTCATTAGTATCTACTGGTCCGAGTCCGTGACACCAGCACCCCCCTGGCCAAGACAGCCTTCACCACCTTTACAGCCGCGTACGAGGGCTTTACCGAAGTGCGGTATCTGTGGAAATGAAGGACATAAGAGAAATGCATGTCCAGACAGACCTAGCTAGCTTGTTTTGTTAATTATATGGCGTTTGGTTGAAATAAATGCATTTACATACTATATATGGGGAGTTGGTGGCCCACTCGCTTGTGTGGCCCACTCGCTTGTGAATTACGTTAGTGTAATGTTCATTTTATCCACTATGGCCACCAGGCCAATGAGTCATTCACGAACCCCCCAAACACCCTGATTCACACTGAGACACAAAGTGCCCCATACATAACCCACTCACACATACATATGATTCACACATTCAGATCTCCCAAAAACCCAAATATAGAAAAAGCAGCGGATAAAAGATTGATTTGGTTTCGATCTGATACATAGTTCGTCATGGTATGAAATGGGACGGAATATGCGCGGAATGTATGGGCCCGGCGATTCCGTGCGGAGTGCATGGAGCTTATAGTCGGTGGAGTTATTGATGGGTCTGCTATAGGTATCTTGACTTGGTATTTGATAAGTTTGTGGCTTATCGGGTTTGAGTGGTCGTGCGCGAGATGTTGGGGGTTGTGGTTATGGCTGTATCTTGACACTTATGGACGGGAAGAGGGGAGCGGGACGGCTATACTTATTGACTACGAAGTGATTCATGTACATCAAGTGTCGAGACGATGGATGAAAAAGAAGAGTAGATGTTGTAATACTTTTCATTCCATGATTCACCCACCCATTGCCATCAAGGTATGGGCGGTATCAATGGTATCCCAGTCTGGGGAGGTGAAATTATAGTACAAAGTAGAAAGGTAAACCAGATTCAGATCGGGTATGTAAACCTAAACGCCGATAAAAAAAACAGAAAGCAACTGTAAAGATCGTGGTTTAACAAAGCAATGATGCTCGTGTACTGTCGTGCTGAGATAAAATCCGACCGGAATCAGAAATGTGCATCTTTCACTGTAGATTTCCGTTTCCCACCTAGCCGGAGGCCCAAGAAGCTTTTCCCAGAAGGCTTCTCTGCACTCTCTGTTTGCTGCTGTTTGGCCCGTCTGAGGGTCTTTGTCCGACCGAGCTTCCTCTTGAAGCTGTCATCGGTCGGCTCGGAACCATCGAGGCTGTTTTCACTTGTCCCATCAGACCTGAAGCTGTTGGTTGACCAGATACTCGGGGCTCCGGAATGCTTGACAGTCTGGTGCCGTGCGGGGAGCCGGGTGTCGCAGGCTGCCTTGGACAAGTTGTACGTAGACTCCGATCGGAGTCTGCTGAATGCCGAGTACGGCGCATGGCTGGGCGTTCCGGAATATGGTCGAGACCGTGATGATGTCGCATCGGAGTTGTAAACACTGTGAGAATATGACATAGATCTAGAATGAGTGTCTTCGAAGCGAGGTGAAAATGGTCGTTGCCAGAATGGAGCAGAGAAGCTGCTCATGCTTCGTAGTGATGGCGGTCTCCGGAGCGATTTGCTAGGAAGCCGTACATGGTTCGCTACTTTGTCGGATATGGAGGTTCGAGGGCGCGGGGTTGATATAGACTGTGATCGTGATGCCGGATGAGGCAGTGTTGGGATGGGTAGGCAGTTGACTGTTGCGCTCGTATTCATCCGCTCTAATGGTGCTCCTTGGTAAATCGGTTTCGAATAGTTGGACTTCTGTGCGGGCTGCACATCTCCGCTGTGATCATAGAGCGCGTTGCGCTTATTTGATGCCGTGCAATTTGATGCAGTAGGCTGGCGGAGCGAAGAAACTATGTCGGTCTTTTCTTTCTGAATGGATGAGCTTGTGCTGCTTGGGCACAACTTCCCGCTGCCTGCAGACGGTGTTTCATCGATAGAATCGGATTGTGTCGAAGTAGGACTGATCATAATTAGGTTAGGTTTAGTCACTGGTTCCACATACTTGACCTGCTCGGCCACGAGCACATCCGTGTCATCATCGGAGAGGTATGAGGCAGGAGAAGGTGATCGGAAAGAGAGACAAGTCGATGAACGTTGTGATTCAAGGGGATTATAGACGGTAGGCTGCAGAAAAGCTGATGATGGAAGTTGTGAAGGGGTCTCGGGAGATGGTAACTCAATGATCATATCATCCTCAGCATCGTAGATGTATGAACCTGCCACAAAAGTAGCATCGCTAGCACGCTTGATGGTGGTCATCGACACAGGCCTTGAGTCTTTGTCGACGGGCTGGCATAGTGAAACGAGGCGAGGAAAGATGTCTGGTTCGTCGACATTGGACATCTCATCGGCGCTCAGGTCCGAGTCGGAACGATGGAAGTCGACAGGCGAGAATGAATGGTCTTGACCCCCTACTTCGGACTCGGATATGTCTTCCTCTTCGGACTCGTATCGCTGTAGAGGCTGCTGCTCATTGATGTATTCGAGATCGAGAGATCCCATGGTCTGAAACATCTTGATTCTTCCCGTTCTTACAGTCGACAGCAAGTAGTAAGATGGATGGTTGGTATTCCACGGCTATCCCAAGTGGGCGTCCAGGGAAAGAGCACAAAAAGTAAGAAAAACTGCAAGTATGATTTCGGAAAAATTCGTATGCACGTTAAGATGAAACGAATGAGGACCAAAATAAACACCGAGATAAAACAAGGTCAAAGAATAATCAAAGTAGAAGAGAGTAAAAGAAATCGGGCTAAGACAACAATGAAATATACCTGGCCGGAGACAGAGGGTATATATTGCCGTATTCTTTCTGATGTACGCTGATGCCACACGGGATGGAATGCTCTTAAATGGGTGGATCCGTGATGGGGCACTTTATGTCTCTGAGAAGGTAGTCACCCTCGATGCCATCAGATCACAACGGACGGGCCAAATGATCCACAGGAACAGGGTCCGAAAAGCAAAAGCCAGGAAAAAATTACCGTACTTTGACACGTGTGACAGGAAAAGGAGAGTCCTTTTAACACAGATGGAAGAGAATCCAGCACAAACCCCGTATAGTATGTGCTTTGAAAAATATGTAGGAGCATTATTAGCGTGTCCTGCATACTTACGCCGTTTTCAATCCTTGCCTAAGCCTGATTGCGGATTTTCCTTTTGCAGGACTAAGAGTCTATGTGCGGGTGGGCCATCTTGCCTCAGAATTAGCAGGGCATATAGCACCCTTGCATATCATTGAAAAATAATGAATAATAAAAAACCGTGTCATGCGCCGAAAATAGAGTGAAAGGCTTTCTCATTTAGGCCCCATTTGCTATGCCAAACGCCACGCGGGGCCAAAGGAGAGAGGGCACAAATGCAATGAATGATCATTCCGATTGACTACATAGACACATCCTCCCTGATAAAGATACTGCACACCGTTGGGGGAGAAATCGACGTATCAACGTGAGCTGTCGCGGAGGAGAGGTCAGTGCATCAGTGCATTTCCGCAACGTTCAGGAGACTCGATGGCTGGCGCGTCCCCTCAATACATGACGTTGAAAAGAGGTGGCGGCAGCATTTAGATTGCAAACCTTCTGCACCTCGAACTGTTCAATGTATAAGTTGGCAGCCAGTATGCCGATCTGAGATATGGAGGATGTATCGGAGTTAACACTCCGGAAAGGGGGTGGGAAAGAACATCCGTCGCCAAGAACAGAGCCATGGAAAAAAACAAGATAAATGCTTGACTGGGTGTTTTGGTTAGATGTGGTCTGTCCGAGTGTGCTCCGAAATACACTCGGATGGCACTCGGATGTCGCTGGATCAGAAAATGATGATATGCCGTGCGCATAGCACATCGAGCAACGTCGGCCAAAGATCGAGCGGTGGCCACACCTTCCCTGCTTTTCTTTTTTTTTTTTTTTTTTAATTACCTTTCTAACTTGATCTCCCGATCTCCTCATTCCTCCTCTTCGGCTAGAGATGTTCCAGGTTCAGACAGTTTGGACATTTATCGACCGGTATTATTGCCGGAGAATGCTCCGCGGCTTGGGTTTAAAAAAAGTGTCGCACAGGTCAGTTCGTGCGGCCGGCCCGATTGATCTCCAGGTATAATTATACCACATATACCTGTGATACCTGCGATCGAGAAGAACTGATAGCACTTCTCAGCTGTCCTTATTCCCATGATGGTTCTATTCTGACTCGTGAGAACCTTGGTAACAGTAAGCCACATTGCACCAAAACGGTGGAGCGTGTATAACTCAAACACACCATCAGCCAAACAGATGTAGTAATATATCACCCGTGCTTCTTGGATGAAACAGGACCTTTCAGAGAATGTCTGCGATTTGCGGAGTCCGATATTCGAAAAATACGTACGTACAGAGCACGTGCAGAAGAATATAGCACTTTGTATATCCGTTTGTGATTATATTGCAGAAGGTATTATCGTCCAGTCGATCTTACTGGCTAAAGTAAATCTCCGAGAGACATCGGCTTATCGTGGGGAATGTGGTTTCGCCTTTTCTGCGAATAGGAGATTGTAATCGATACATCCTGCGACAAAGCATAATTCGGCTCCCTTGCAGCTGCCACATGAACTAGGCGTGAGGCCGATGGATTCCAGTGGTGTCAATGAAGAATTCGGAATAGGCGTCAGTTGAACACTCGTTCTCATTCCTGAATTGACCGTCTCAACGGCGGCTTATCCAAGCCATTGAGATTGACGGTCGAGAAGATCATCGGTGCAGAGTATTGGGTAGAGAGCATAGAGCCCGGATTATCATCAATGCGATGCGATTCAAATTAAATAAACATTGTGCTGACGATGCTGGATGGGAGAGCGACGGTTGCCGCGTCGTCGACGTCTTCAAGTCACGAGACTCGCTTACCATTGACTACCATCAACCTCAGCGTAGCAATGCTTGAACGCACGGAAACAAACACCACTTCTACCTTTGTGGCTGGGCACATTGAGCTCGGAAGATTATACTGACTTTCCTTGCTTTAGATCGGCCTCATGCAAAAGTAAAGCATATCATATACGCGCAAACACTTCAATAGGGGTGCTATCTGGATGAGTATGAGGCCTCTCAAAACTCAGTCATCTCAGAACACATATCTGCTGGGAATCTGTATAGTGGTGCGTTTTCAGCCCCGGCCCCAAGCACAGCGACAGCAGGGCTGTGCGAATTTATCATTTCTTCCACTTAGCCACAGTCGCCGTAGCGCTTACTACTCATTATCTTGGTAATACTTTGCTTTCTTCGGTGCTATGATGAAAAGCATCGCCTCCCAGAAATACGAGACCCGAATCCAAAGAGGCCTCTCGAGGCCCCGGTTATGCATCACGCGTGAGTTAACGTACAGACAGTCGGTCTGGAAGCAATCGTCGAATGAAATCAAGAATGAACCTTCCTCCGTTACATGAATCATTCTCCTACAGAGAAACAAGCATATACAATGCATAGACACAGACAGCAGAGCAGAGCATGCAGGATACATACAGACGGCAGAAGTTCGACGTGTCTACGCGTCGCCTGTCGCTCCAGCCTTCTAGATTCTATCTCTTCCGCGTGAGACCTTTACAAGTGCAATTTCCACAATCTCGACACAGAACTCGTATACAACCTTATGGCGAACCTTAGTCGCTCCTTGCGCCTGACTGTCGCAGTTTGGAGGGGTCACATTTCTCCTGATTCCCCAGATTATCTCCGACCTATCTGATAGCGATAGTCTAGCCCGTATGGGCGCAAACCTCCCCAGTCCAGTATCGCTTAAAAGAAAAGTAACCAATAAATCTGAGTTCATGGCATCTAGGCACGCCCCGCAAGCTGGCCTGTCAAACCTGTCATCCGTTTAATCCGCAGCAATCGGGCCCAAGGCACTTATACTAGTTAATATACGAACCGTTGAAAAACGAAACGACCAAAGAAAACCAAAATAGCAGGTCCCGGCCGAAGCGGCATAGCGGCATCGAGTCTCCACAAGGTACTATCGACCGTTTTCCCCGAGCCGGGACTAATGCAAACCGTTGATTCGGTATGGAGTCGATGGCCCGTACATGCAGGATTTTTTATCATCGGGCCTTTTATTGGCCGGGTAGACTGTGTCAATATGGGTTGAATGTTCTCATTACTATACCGCTATTTCAAGTCTGCATGGGTCGTATGAGGGCGTTGGTCATTTCCTACATCTTCCGTTTAACGGCTGAAAGTGCCGGCTAAGGAATGCGACTCACCGAAAGAAAGAAAACCGGATTCTGGACTTCTAAACATTGAGTACTTTTGTGGGTACTTACTTTGTATGCAGTATGTCTGAGGTGAGTTGTTCTATTCGCCATTTCTCCGACTGCAAATGGCCGTATCAAGTAACTGTGAATTCATATGTAGAATGTTTTCTCCTCAACAAAACAAGATATTCAGCATTCTCCTTCGGTATCGGCCTGTTTCTGCTCTTTCATCAGCGGACTCCATCTCCATCGGAAAAGCCTTCATAATAATACGAGTATGCGAGATTCAGCCGGCCCTCCTCGTAATCCTTTGCCTGTAGAAATCTATTTGCCGAATTCGTGTCCAGAAATGGTCGAAGACCTACCATAGCATCAACGAAGTATTCCATGAGGTTGACCTCTCGCTTGATCCACGTCTTTGTCTCTCTGTAAGAGCGTCCTCCGGGAGGGCCTGCGCAGAATCGAAACCAATCCAGAACACTCTATCTTTCTCCTCCGAATCGCCAACAGATATCATCATATTTCTCGGGTACGCATCGGCGTGGTAAGCCCTCGCTTGATTAATTTCATAGAGGATGCTGTGGGGAGTATGCAGGCGTTCTTTGAATAGTTAAATAGGTCTATGTGTTGCAAGTTCGGGATATGCTCAATCAGGACGGTGTTTGGAGGCAGCTCATTCTCAAGAAGCATGTGGGGATTGGGCCAAACAGCTGGTTGGATTCTCATAATTGTTCCATGGAAACCAGGAGAACACCTCGCTGGCAGAAGCCTTTTTCTTTCACGAGTTAGTATGCTCTAAATTCGCGGGTGAACATATCCTTTCCAAGGAATTTAGAAACCCACTTGCATGAACCTCTGTCACGGAACTTAAAGGGATTATCAAAGGTATCAGTAATGAAGACGGTTAACTAACCACTTTCATCACACAGGCCTTTTCATGCACGGTGATTTTGGAGACAGCAGGGTACTTGGACTCTTTGAACTTTTCAAGGTCACATTCGAAAGTCCTACTTCGTTTATTTTATCAGCCATCGTAGCCTTAATATTATATCAAAGAATAAGACAGGCAGATAGAGAGTAAATCAGGTTTTAGAGACTTTGTTTGGGCTTGGTTGTGGAGATTGTTAGGGCAATGTTTTCTATTGTTGTCATAGTGGCAATGCAGTACATTATAATACCAGTGCTACCTGAACCAAGCAAAAAGAGAAAGAAAGAAAAATCAATATCCACCGACCTATCCTTCATCCAATAAGCACCCCAGAAAAAGCACCACGATGCTCTCTATAGAACTCCAAGACTGGAAAGCCGGTTTTCCAACCAATGCCCCCGAGTTCATCACCCCCTCTGAATGCTCCTGCATAACTTGCAACAAGCCCAGCAATAATCCTTACCTTATAATACACAACATATCTCATGATTCTGCTGAGGTCTGTTGGTATCGGGAGGAATATGACATACACCAGGAAAAGATATTCTAAAGTGTACAAGAGCAGGTTCTGATCGCAAAGTCACCGCAGAATACGCTTGGGGTCCTAAATGTATTTTCCATCATCGCGCCTTTTGGGAGTTTACGGAGTGATGACAAGTGTGGGGGACTTGGGCCGTACAATATAAATGGGACCTGGAGCATTTGGGGGGATATGAAATTGCTGTTTATGAAGCAGACAGATGAATCGTATTTTTCAGAAAAGATTGGCTGAAGGCATGGATGAAAGGAGGTATATAGATATTATTGACCGGCTGCGTGTTGGGAATGCGTGGTGGCTTGTGGCATCTGAGAGGAGTGTTGAGGTGATTATTGCTTTGGCAATTGATAGTGAGAAGGAGAAGATTGTTTTTGGACAATGGAAGCATGTTGTTGGTGACGATAGGAAGTCTGTTCCAATTAAGACCCAGGAGGTTGTTATCACGCGGAGCGGCGATGGGAAGGTCCAGGTCACTGGGCCCGTTTATTATCCAGTTTCACTATCTCTGTTGGTATGTTTTTTGAAATTGAGAATGAGGAGAATTTAGAATATACCGCAGCTCACTCGAAGGAAATTTCTCAGCTGGCATGGGATTTTCAGCAAGAGGGAATCTTTTGAGAAGCCGTTGCTGATATAACTGCTAGTCCTCGCCCTGTCTCAATTGCTCCAAGCTATATAGGACCAATTCTCTATATAATTGTATGGCTGGACGTTATGGGTTTTTTATATGTCAAAGCAAAGTTTCGAAGCGGATGTACCGGGAAGACCAAGACTGTACTAGATTAGGGCTAGAAGTGCAGTAAAATAACCTAAATAAATCGGCCTGGAGGTTACGATATATCAACATAAAGCTTGTACATAATATTTGAATTAAATTTAGCCTGTGTATTATAGTATACACTAGTCTTTCTATATTAGCCCTTTTCCCTTTCTATTATATCCATATTCATGCTATATCGTAGAATTCGTGAGCCTGATGTTCGGAGTGAGATCTCGATTAGTCTTCTAAGGACCAGTTCTGGTCATCGGCTGCCAATGCCCCCAGATACCATTGTCCAAGCAGGATTGTGAGTTGTGGGTGCGCGGGATTCCGCTGCTTGTTCATGGATGGAGTCAGACCTCCAGGTTGCCAGCATCATCAAATCTCTTAATTGCAATCAACTTAAAACCTGTGATTAAACCCGTACCTTGAGTGCTGCAAAATCAAGCAATAATTGGCCCAGGGCGAAGCTTGTCGAAATTCCGTTTCATCAGTAGGATTGGGGCCATTATGGCGGTCGAGGAACCGTTTGTACGAAGAATTTGAGATCCCCAGCAGCTCGGTTGGAAATAATCCTCCCGGGAAGAGTCAGGTCGTAAAGCACCATATCAGGCTGAAGATTGTCAGAAGTCATTGCTGTGTGCACCGACATTATAGGTAAGGGCTGTCAGGCCTGCAAGCCCTTGGCTAGCGCTTATGTGGGAGAAGCCGCAGCGAAATGCCCGTATGATGCCCGTATAATGCGATAGGTGGCTATTTGCTTCAATACGTGAACGTATAGATGTTCCATAGTTGATCGCCCTCGGGATACATGTGCACAGGATCGCCCGTGAGTGTTGCTCTAGTCAATACTCCACCGAACTATTGCAGGATCTCTGCGGTATTAAATTTGTCCCAGTGATTTACATCAGTGATATCATCAGTTTCATAATGGTCATTTCGAGTATTCTAGGTAGATTCACTATAATAAGTGATGGGCAACGGGAAAAAGCCATGTTAAAGATATTCCATCAAGCTGACTTGGTTCTTTATCTTGAACAAAATGCTTTTAATATGTCCGTCAGTAACTGGAATAAGTCGGTAAGAATTGGAAAAGCTGTCATGGTTAGCTATTGAAGGGCTCGGAATAGCCATAGAAGCTGGTAAATACTCTATCTACCTGGAAAAAGACGCCGTCTAGTATGGGCAGTGAGTGATATGAAGCAAAAATCATCCATCAAGCACCTTTACTGCCAGCGGTAAGTATGTGACTACGTTACATCCTAACTAGGTCTATAGCAGTTAGATTCATAGATTGCATTGGATGGCATGTTAACGCTTTATGTTAGCTATTTCTGGCAATAATAAAATTCCAGGCTTTCAATCTAGTCTCTAGTTAGGGTACCTTAGCGGTGTTTTCTGCCTTGGGCATATGTAGAACGACACTTCTTCCACCGAATCCACCCTCTGCGCCCTTCTTTCTTACATATCTTACAAATAAACCTCTCTCATATCAGCTAAATATTAGAGAAAATGGCTATTGCTACCGACGTCTACTGAGATTAGAGAAATTGGACCATCTGATGTGATCTTCCTTGAAAAGCTCAGAGTCCAAGTACTCCTGCTGTCTTAAAGTTGCCGTGCATGGAAAGCCCTGTGTGATGGAAGCAGTAATCTAACTAACTCTGCTTTTTGGTAACTGATCCTCTAGTCACTTCTTCAAGTATCACGATAGATATCCGCCTAGATAGTTTCATAAACACCGTGAGAGACATGTTCGTCCGTAATGTACCGCATACCAGCGCCTGCAAGCCAAAGGGTTTTATAAACAAGTAGTCATTCCCGATTTCTACGGAACGATCACGAAAATCCAACCAGCCCTCTTGCCAGATCTGCACATGTTCCTTGGTGACAAGCTACCTCCCAACGCCATCCTGATCAAGTACATCCCAAACCTGCAACACATAGACCTATCCAACTACACAGGATCGCCTGGTCAAGATTCGCGTATTTTCTACGAAATCCACAAGGTGAGTGTCTATCAAGGTGATGCGAGACTAAGGAGCATGATCGTGTTTCCGGGAGAGTCGATTGGAATACCAAATAGAGTGCTCTGGGTGGATTTTGATTCCGCGCAGACCCTTCCGGAGGACGAGCTACTGTCAAAGAGATAGGAAACGTGGATCGTGCGAGAGGTCAAAATCATGGAACAATTTGTTGATGCTATGGTATGTTATCTGTTTATTCCTAGGTGCGGTTTTGACTGACAGGTAGTCTGTCTCCTGCAGCCTCGGGATTATGAGGGTAGGCCCAATCTCGCGTACTCGTACTGTTATGACTGCTTCTTTGACAGTGTTCCAAAGGAGGATGTTCAGTGCGTTCTGCACTGAATGGGGACTTTTTTGCCGGTTGTCTTCTCGATTAACATGCGGGTTAGACTTGTATGAAATAGAAAGATAATGTTTATTCAACCCATGTCAAATGCATTAACCACGCCTGCCACTACCGTCAAAAATAAAAGTACACAACCGGAATGGCAGCTATAACATTCAGTTATTATTACTATAACTCCAGAGTATATTTGATCAATGCAGGACTGCTGATCATCGGTTCGATGCCGAAATTTCTAGGGCAATCTACATGAGGCCGTTCTCCTGTACATGCATCTTAGTTCATTTACCCAAAGGGACTTGCCTCACTCCTGAATTTCCAACTGGAATGGGGGGATCGTCCCGGGGCGTCCTTGACAAATTAAATTAAACAGAACATGATATATTTGAAGCCTCGAAGCAAGGTAGAGTACACATAACCGATTACATATACGTTTGCTATCATCTATAAATGCTACACTCGAATAAAAACAAAAGGACCGCTGCCAGCAGCCCGAAAAAATAAACAAAGAAGACACGAAGATGAAAATAAAAGAAAAATACAGGCTAGGAAGCCGTCGACTCGAGCAACCTTCCTAAAAGAAGAGAAAAAAATCACCGCCATCTTCCGCCAAAGCTTTCATCCTCACTGTCACAATAGCGCCGTGCATGCCCTGGTCGCGAGACAGAAAGCGACCAGTATCGTAAGGTTCGTTCATTAAACAATATAAATATGTAGTCACCAGAAGAGAAACCGAAGTGAAGAGAGAGAAAGAAGTGGTGCTCTTCGTGGTCTTCGCACCCTTTGAGCAAAGTTTCCGAGGGCCACCGACAGAGTAGCAGATGGCCTCGGGGAACGTTTAGATTAGGATTATGCTGTGCTCCTGTCACTATTCCTGTCAGGAGGTGCGACTGGGCAAGGTGAGCCACACGAGCCAACGTTCTACCCACTCCATGGCGTTTATGCCTTGCGAGAGCGGGTGACGGGACCGTTCGACCGGCCGGTGGTCGTCGCGTTCTTCTCACCAACAGCGCTACCGACAGCGGGGATCTCAGCGTTCCTCATCTCAATCAGAGACTGGCGGCCAGTGTTGCGGCGAGGGCGACCAGCCTTAGAGGTCTTGTTGTAAGTGGCAATGTAGAACGAGATGAACAGGACGAGGTAGGAAGTGATGATGATCATTCCGGCGAAAGCAGCGAATTCCTCACCAGCGCACTGGCCGGCGTTGGGCATCCAGGGGAAGTAGGTGCTCGTGAAGTAGGTGTAGGAAGCGAAGTAGATGAAGCCTGCGGGTTCTGATTAGCAAAATTCTCAACGTCATGTTGCATCACGGCTACTCACCAAGGTCAATGACGAACTGCAGGATCTGCAGACGGGTGATCCATTCCTTCCACCAAATGCGGACGCCACGAGCACTCTGGAAGTAGTACCAGTACATCACAACGTGAACGAGAAGGTTGATGGTGATGGGGACCCATTGCACCGCAGTCAAACCAATAAGCTGAGTGTAGCACAGAAGAGCGGTAGCTCCGTGGTGGTAGGTGTGGAGGAAGGTCAGAGGCTTCTTCTTGAGGAACAGGAAGACGGTGTCGATCAATTCGAGATACTTGGTCAGGTAGTTGAGCTAGCTCCATGTTAGCTTCATTCCGGACTCTCGATCAGAGCGGTGGTATCCCTTACATAGTAAATGATAATGAGGGGCTGAGTCCAACCACCATTGTAATCACAGATAGCGTAGAAGACACCGTTTCTCCAGATCGTAGGCAGCAGCTGTTCAATGAACAAAGCCAACAAAGTCCCGCTGATCAGAGTCAAGTAGAGGTTGTGGATCATGAACAGTGTGTTGAGCTTAAGCGCCGGGCGGCTCTTCATGATTTCGCGACCTCCGAAGATAATTATATAGTAGGCAACGAGCATGACACCGGTCGACTCGATGGTCGAGAAGGGAGTCTCGCCGCGGACAAATTCGAACTGGCTCGCGGGATAGCCCATGACATACTCGAACGCCTTGTCGAAGATAGGCCATAGCTGAATGCCAAACGGCCGATCAATCGTCGGACGATAGTCCTGCAGGAACTCGAGCGCCATTGTGAAGCCGAATTGACCCTTTACCGGTGCGAATTCAGGCAAACAGAAAAAACGCGACAGCTGGAGCCCCCGGGAAACGCGGGCAGGGGAGGAAGGGGAAGAAGGGAAGGGAACGCTTCGAGAAGCAGCAAGAAACGAAGAAAAAAGAGGGAATGGAAGGAAAAACGCGATAGAGAGAGAAGAGAAGAGAGGAAGAGAAGGGGAAAAAAAAGAGAGCAAGGAGAGGCCGACGAGAAAGTCGAGATATTTCTTTCTTCTTATTCTCTGCGTGTCGTTTTTGGAGAGGACAGTCTGACCATCCAAAAGGGGTCTAGTGTCGGACGCCGCAAAAGGGGCAGATGGCACTAATCCATTTTCGGACTCGGGGGATCATGTGCTATTCCGGGCTTCCGGTTACATTCAGTCTTCTTATACACTACACTATTCTATGCAGAAAAGTACTCTACTCTCTATGGCTCTCCACACCCTTTTCGATGTACCCCAGTGTCAATGGCATGCATAGTGCACCATCGTTGCTGTTGTGCAACAATCCTACTGCAAACCACACGCTTGCCATATGGGGTAATTTTCACATGCACCGCAAATTGAAGCTTACCAAATTTCAGTCTCAGATCGCCCTCATCTTGATACAACAGTATCTACTTTTTGCGATTCATTCAGTCCTGTCAATGATACTTCTTGCCGGGTTTGGCTGACCGGAGCCAATCAATCTCATTTTTGGGGTCTTGCGCTCAGCTACATTGTCCCAATCGGCCAACGTGAAACATTGTTGGGACAGATCCTAGCCCTATTAGGTTTATTGGCAGCTGATAAACGCAGTCTCGGTAGAATATTGGTGAACTCAGGGTCCCATTCCCCGGAAAGTCCCCGGGAAACCCAGAAAACAAACCGACGACATTTTTCGACTGCCGATGGTTGCCGTCTGGGGCTTTTTCTCAATATCTAGTGGACTGCTCTAACACTGGTGCATTCAGTTCCACTCCCCGAACAATGCTGATCTGGGGATGGTTCATCGTGTACACGAAAGGGATTATGATCTACCTCGCCGATTTGCTGGTTCAATGTGCCACCCATACGTTGCATCTCAAGCATTATACAGTTTCTTACGAAGTTGTGTGAGGGTGCAAACCGTACTTTAAGTTATAAGCAGACTGTAGAGGCCTATGTCGTTTGATTGGTACAACTTGAATGGTTGCAGTAAACCTACATACATTTTTGCGGTTATCAAACCTCGCCATCGACGGTAGGCTTCTAAGCCCCCAGGTGCTCAACAAATTATTATATAGACTAGAACAAACCTAGCTTCAATTATTATCGACCGTTGGATGGCCTAAAATCTGTACACGGGCCTCTGGACTCGTGGCCCGGGGTTGGACATAGCGTAGAATATCCCGAGAGGCTCGATCGAGACGAACCTCGGTACTTGGCTGCTACACCTCGCAATGCTATCATTGAAGACTGCATTGCCTCGCTTTTCATTAGTAATATGTTGTTGACATCTCTGGAATACATCGTTCATGGTGACTGTTCAGCCAATCAGAGGTCAGTTCAGTCCATCTATGACCCAACCAATCACATCGCACAAATAGAAATCATGATACTGTGAGCGCCTTAGGCACCATTAGTTCGGGCATCCACGGGAGCCGCAAGCATAAAATCCTGAGGCACCAAGGCATCAACAACCTCACACCATCCGCAAAAACCTAGCGCAGTCGGTTGTTCCCTCTCTGACCTCAACCTCGCCAAAACGGTCTTTGCTCCCCGTCCTGCCATTTCCTTCCCCCCTCCGCCGTCCGCCCCAGCACGCCCAATCTGTCCTGACCTAACCAACTCTCGCAATGGCCTCGACTTCTCTCTTCCGTCTTGCGACGCGCGCCGTCCGCCCCTCCAGCTTCGTCAGAGCTTCCCAATTGCCCCGGTCTGCGTCCCGGGTGCAGACCCCCGTGGCTCTGGCTATCAACCGCCCCGGCTTCAGCACCACCTCGATTCGCCGCTCCGGTCAGCACGATGATGAGACATATGAGGAGTTCTCTGCCAGGTATGCAGTCACTTTTCAGTGAGCCATTGAGTGAGGGAGGGGGATTTGCTTTGCGGGAGTTATCGGGAGTGAAAGCAAATCGCAAATGGTTTCCGCACTTCCTTCCTCTCCGCTTGGCTATAAATACTTTCTGGGGAAGAAGATACCGTACCAGGATCATGGCATTGACTGCTCAATGATAGATTCGAGAAGGAATTCGACGGTGTCCAGGATGTTTTCGAGCTCCAGGTAAGCTGAACCGACCACTCGCACATATGGAAACACGGTTCTTTTTATGTCGAATAGTGTGGTCACAGTTCGACATCCTTGCTAGTGTCCTGTCACCAAATCACATCTGGAACGAGTCATACAGTTAACATGCTCTTTCCCTGCTTCTAGCGTAACCTCAACAACTGCTTCGCCTACGACCTTGTCCCCTCCGTTGAGGTCCTCACTGCTGCTCTGAAGGCTGCCCGCCGCGTCAACGACTTCCCCACCGCCGTTCGCGTCTTCGAGGGTGAGTCCTACCTCCCCTCTCTAGCACAATTCTCCTCGTTGAATAATACTCACCATACTTCTAAACAGGTGTCAAGGCCAAGGTCGAGAACCAGGAGCAGTACGAGCAATACCTCCAGGCCCTCGACACCCTCCGCCAGGAGCTCGGCGTTGCGCTCCGGGAAGAGCTCTACCCCGGCGAGCAGTAAACATATGCACATGCATGTTCTCGCTCGCTTCGTTCCATAACATATCCCACTTCCCTTTTCTATTTAGAACCTCGGAAATCTTTCCTCAAATGTTCCGATTATCGTCATATCTATGAAGATAGGAAAGCTGTATACATATTCTAGAAATGCAGTTGGGTGGAGTTAGGGCCCCCCATCCTTGTTTCTTTGCTCCTTTTGTTATGTGCTGTGATTTCTTACCCGACTCAAGTAACGGGGAAGGAAAAAAAATAAGTGATGCAGATGTGGTTTCCTCTTTCTCGATCTATATCTGTGCTTTTCTAGAGATCTGAATGGCATTTACCTGTACTTTGTATGCTGCCTAGACGATCGATTTCAAGTACCCTGTTAACATATCAAATGACCGAATGTAAAAGTTGAAATTGAAATATGGACATTCAACAAACACATCATAAAAAGCTAGATACATGGCATCCACTGACCCGAAAATACAATTTGATATACTAATAGTAGCTAGAACGGAACGAACAAGAGAACAGAACAGAAAAGGAAAAAGCCCATCCACGTCCCAAACGCCGCCTATGTTTGTATAGCTTTCAACAGAATAGGTTATTCTCATACACGCTGGGTATAGTTGGTCATGACACTGACATCCGCATCGCGATGCTGAGATAAGAAAAAAATTTGAGTAGATTCATGTCTGATCGGATCAGAGAAGCCGGGGGAATTATCCAGCCACTGTGGTGGGGGTATTGTATTCGGAGCGGAGGGAAAGATGAGTGTATCGGCATCTCTTAATGCGTCCCAACGTATCTGAAATAGTTTGGCCGGCAGTCTTCCTTGGCCAGGAAGGGTTCACCGTCGTAAAATTTGCCAGGAGTGCAGCCGGAGCACTTGGGAGAGTTGGGGCAGTTGAAGTATGGGGTGTGACGGTATCCGATGTCGCGGAACCTGGAACATGACGAATCAGTACTATATTAAATGAACTTTGAGGTCGGATCTCAACTCACCAGTGAACCTTGGCCGCATCTTCAAACAGACCCAGAGCAATCGAGTGAACCGGCGCATCACCCCACCTCTCGTAAAAGAATCCACCAGCACGGTCCAGGTGCTGGAAGTACGCCTCGTACTTGTCACTCCGGAAGAAATCCAAGTCACCGATCTCAAAGTTCGACCAAAAGTGGCAGGTGGAGTAACCGTTAGCATCATTAGTGTGGTCAGGCCGCAGCTGGTCATCCGTCAACCATTCCATCATGTTGTTATCAGCAACGTAGGAGGGGTTCGCAGCAATGAACTTCTTGGTCTCCGGCCAAAGCGTAGGGATACTTTGCGGCGCATCAAACAAATTGATGGTGAAACCGTATGTGGTGTTGCGGTCCTCCATGTACCGGAAAACATCATAGTCGACATCGCAGAAGTACTGGACCTTAGGCTCCACACGCCAGTAGTAGCGGTAGTCCTTGAGGATCGGATGCTTGTAAAACATGCCACTGTTCCAGCGGCACATCAAGTGGTAGGACATCTTGTCACTGTATTGGATGCCCTGCTCCTTCAGTATCTCCGCAGATTCATAGAAGAGGTCCATGTCGATCCAGTCGGGAACCGACCAGTGATCCTTGGGGATTTGCTCTGAGCGCGGCGTTAGAATATCACTCCCTCGCTTATGTAAGTCTCCAGATCGTACCATAGTAAACCTTCGCCTTCGTTTCAGCCTTTGTCCGCCTCTTGAACTCCTCCGTGAATGGGACGTCGTTGAAGAAGATCCAAGGGTAATTGAACTTGCTGTTCCAGGTCCGTTCCAAGTCGCGAATAGTGGGAATCAAGTCGTCAAGTTCTTCGTTCCGTACGAGGGAAATGAGCGCGGCGTTGGTGCGAGCAGAGTCGGCGCTGTTGGGGGAGTAGTCGCCGTCGCCCACGTGCCATAATTGACCTTGGGGCTCTCCAGTCGCTGATAGAACAATTCTGTTAGTACGATATCGAGCCACGGATCATATGGCAGCCTGAAGGAGGCAAGGGAACTCGACGCACGTTCTAAGAGAGGGTCCGACTTCATGCCATTGTATGACCTCCCCTGGCCGACCAGAGGAGTTGGGCCCTTGTTAAGTTGGAAGATAAGGAAGAGACACAGCACAATGGACGCTGCGCCCAGCATGCGAATGGGTCTTGCAACAGCCATCTTGACTGCGATTGTGGACAGACAAAAAAAAAGGGAGTGTGAGGAATAAGCACTCAACTACAGAAGAGTAGCCTCAGGAGCCGCCACAAGGAGAGGCGGCCTTATTTAATGCCCTTTTCCTATTTGGGACTAGCTCCGGCAGAAACAACACGTCAACCCACCGCCCGCGCATCCAGACCGCGTCACCAATACGACTACAAGTCATTCTATTATCGACAAACTGATTATATATTGCAGGAATGGGTGTTATGTGCACTGATAACAGTGTATATTCACCATGGCACACGCAGCCAACATTAGCGCGTTGACCGACCAGCTAATTGCGGCAGTCACAAAATCCCCAGACCAAAAGGCACTTCTATCTGTCGCTGTTTTCTGGACCTGGCGCGGCTAACCTTTTGTAGAATATATCGCGCTATAAGAATCTTAAACGCCGTATCGAGGAAATTTTCAAGGCTCGTCAGTATGGGCGGACGGACCAGTTTGCAGTTGCGAAACAGCTAGAAGGACTACAGGAGAAATTCCAAGTCCTGAATAGAGACGAGTTGGCGACGGACCTGCGGTCGTCTCTAGTCGAGTTGGATAACTACCGGAGCCCATGGTTTCCGGAGATCTTATCCCTGTTCCTGCAACTCTCGGACCGTCCGGTTCTGCAATCGCAACGGGATCAAATCGTGACACAGAAGCCTGTACAAGTCGAGGAATCGCTTTCTTGGCGCGAAGTAGATCTTGCTGGAGCCGCATACTGTGATGAAGAGGATATCTGGGAAGACGTAGACTTTCGTGCTGGATCTTCGGAAGACGACATCTCATCAGTATCCAGTGAAATCTCCGTTCCCCGCATATTGCCTCAAGACTCGATAGCACTGGATGAGGAGTATGTGATCCCGGATGAGGTGTTCATGCCGGGAGAAGATGGCGGTGTACTCGTCACCATTAAAGACATCCAGTTTTGGAACCCCGAAAACAATACAGCGCTATCTCACAAGGGAAACTATTCTCGCCCTGTTACTGAACTTCAGATTGTGAGAGAAACTATCTTCATGCTGCAAGGCCTTCCCACGTCTCTATTCCGGCGTTCCGGCGACAGCGTCGAGGTAAATCGCACATATGCGCTTGCACATTCCTCGAATGAAGCACTGTCGTATTTATTACAGTCATTTAGCGCCATAGGGACCCAGGTTGGTATATTGAGGAAGTTCATCACCGTCCCTCAAACCATCGCCTATGTTCAGAGTTTCGTTCGCGGCATCGAAGACCTTTTACGGAAGTTTGACGCCTTTCTGTCAAAAGCACAGACGCAATATCTTACACCGAGGTCGACAGTCGCAGTAAGCTTACTAGAGCTGCTGGAAGTAGTCAGGCGTGAGTCAAGAGTCCTTCTGAGCCTAGTGGGTCTTGTCTCGACCATCAGCCATGATGTACAGACTCAGTCTGTGCGGTGTCTTGATCTACTATACGATTTGGTATGCATGACACAGGCCGTTGGCAATGATAATGAATTCCAGTCACTTGCAGAATTATTTTTCTTCTGCTTCAAATCTTATATACGTCCCATCCGGCTCTGGATGGAAACGGGACAGCTGGATTCTGTGGAAGAAACCTTCTTTATCCTTGAGGACCACAAAGATCGCGACCTACGAACTCTCTGGCATGATTGGTATACGCTGGATGAAGCTTCTAGGCTGCCGAATGCTCCCAAGTTTCTCCATCAAGTTGCTCGCAAGATCTTTACCACTGGGAAAAGCATGGTCTTTCTGCGCCATTTGGAGGCCATTCCAACGGACATAGACCGTCTAAGCAAAAGTACACTAACGTTTGAAGATCTATACCCTCAACATTCCTCATCGTCATTTGCTTTGCCATTCTCCGTGCAACTGGAATCATCATTTGAAAAGCTCATTGACGCAAACCATTCCATCACTTCAGACTGGCTGCAAGCAGCCCTCGACCAACAATGCGGGCTATGGACGTCTCTTCAAGCCCTGGATTACATATACCTCGGCAAAGACATGGGCATCACAGGGAACATCGACAACAAAATCTTCGAATCCATCGACCGAGGAAAAGATGCATGGAATGACCGCTTCTTGCTCACAGAACTGGCCCAGCACGCGTTCAGCGCTTTACCCTTGATCGACCCGTCTAGAGTCATAGTCCGATCTTCCAAAGTCTCACCGCAAGACCTCGACGTCCAAAACAAATCCGTCAAAATGTTAAATGTGCTCTCATTCGACTACATCCTCCCTTGGCCGGTAGCCAATATCATCACAAGAGACGCCATCTCCACATACCAGCGCATCTCCACATTCCTCATGCAGATCCGCAGAGCCCAACACGTGATCGTGAAACAACGCCTCCAGTACAGCAGCAATTCCGCTGAAAAGAACTCCGATAGAACGCACAACGTGTTAGGCTACGCCGTCCGACATAGCATGCTCTGGTTTCTGAATACACTTTACGGCCACATCGTTGACGTGGTCATTTCGACCACGACGACCGCAATGCGGAAGGAACTTTCGTCGTCGAAGGATACTGATGCTATGATTGCAGTTCATCGCGCTTATATCTCATCAATGGAAGACCAGTGTCTGCTGTCGAGGAACCTCGTCCCGCTCCATGAAGCGATTATCAACACTCTAGATCTCTGCGTCCGCTTTGCGGATATGCAGGCGGTGTGTTACGGTGATAACCAACACGATCAATCGCGGAGCAATAAGCTTTCCCGGAAACAACACAATGAGAACCAAAGCGATTCTGACTCCGACTTCAATGAGAATGAAGATGAAGATGATGATCTTGACCAAGGCAACACAACTCGCACCGTCTCTGCAGGCACACCGTATCCGCAGCAGATCCGTTCTCTGAAGAATGAATTCGACCGGTCTGTTGGCTTCCTGACGGCCGGTCTGAAGAGTGTGGGACGTGTTGACGGACAGCCTAGTTGGGAGATATTAGCAGAAAAATTGGAGTGGAGGAAGGAGCGCGAAGCATTTTAGCTGACGTGACTAGGAGTTTAACGGTTATGTATGTTTCAAGGCGTCTACTGGGATATGGGGGTGGCTATTCATGATTGTTAATGTCCATGGGATCTAAAAATATTACAGAGAAATTTTACAAGTAGCATTTAATGACAAAATGCTTAATTGAAATAATAGTAAATTGATACTAGCATAAAAGACATGATGCATAAACCATAAGACATTCAGTTTAATTTTTCAGTTCCAGCCCATCCAAAAAAAAAAAAAAAAAAAAAAAAAAAAAAAATCAAAGTATAGACAACGCAAAATGGCAAAGAAAGATATAAAATGGGTCCAAGGAACACAACCGTAGAAAAGGAGAAAGAAACCGCCCTCGACTTTTCAGTGGTAAAGCACTCAATCTAGCCAACCCATCTCCTAACACTGAAGAACACACGACCCCAAGGACCAATCTCACCCCACTCCTTCGCCTCTTCCGGCAAGTACGACGCAATACCGTTCATGACAGTCCGCTCGGGGTGAGGCATGATAGCCAGAACACGGCCGTTAGGCGTACGCACACCGGCAATACCCTCGGGGCTACCGTTGGGGTTATATGGATACTTCATGGTAGGCTTGAGAGTGGCATTGTCAACGAACTGCACGGGTGCGAGACCATCGTGGACGAAAGATTCAGCAGTAGTCGAGCTAGACGGCGCGAACGAAGCACGGCCCTCACCATGAGCAACAGCGATGGGGAGCGCGGAGCCGTTCATGCCGTGGAAGAAGACGCTGGGGGTTGACGGGTCGGGGTCGGAAACGCGGACCATAGCTACACGGCCTTCGTATTGTTCAGAGGCGTTACGCTCGAAGCTGGGCCAGTTGGCTGCGCCGGGGATGAGTTCCTTCAGGCGCGAGAGGAACTGGCAGCCGTTGCAGACGCCCAGGGCGAAGGTGTCGGGGCGTTCGAAGAAGGATTGGAATTCCTTGCGGGTGTTTTCATGCAGTAGGACAGATTTGGCCCAGCCTTGACCGGCGCCCAGGACGTCGCCGTAGGAGAAGCCGCCGCAGGCGGCGAGACCGGCGAAGGTAGAGAGGGAGACGCGGCCGGAGATGATGTCAGTCATGTGCACGTCGACGGCGGAGAAGCCGGCCACATTGAAGGCGAAGGCCATTTCGGCCTGGCTGTTGACACCCTGTTCACGGAGGATGGCGACACGGGGCTTGCTGCTGAAGGGCGACCACTGGGAGAGACTAGTGAGGACGGGCATGGCGCGGTCCTTGGGGTCGAAGGTGGGCTTCCAGGAGAGACCCGGGTCAGCGTCGTCAAGGATGTTGGTGAACTCCTGGTCGGCGCAGGCGGCATTGTCACGGATCTTCTGCATGTGGTGGGAAGTGGTGGCCCAGGTCTGCTGGAGATTCGCACGGCTGTTGCGGTAGAGCAAAGTCGCACCCTTGTAGATGGCGAGGTTTTGCTTGGACTTCTCAGAGACACGTCCAATCTTGTGGATCAGACCGCCAGGCGGGCCACAGGTGGCGAAGCAGGAGCGGAACTGCATCTCGTGCTTCTTGCGGACCTGGAACACTGCTCCCAATTCCTCAGTGAAGAGGGTCTCGACAACCTTGTGGCTGTCGGTGGTAGGGCAGATGTTGTCCAGCATGACCTCAACACCGCAGCGACCAGCGAACATCATCTCTGCGAGGGTGGTGAACAGACCACCATCGGATCGGTCGTGGTAAGCGAGGATAATGCCAGCCTCCTGCATAGTCTGCGTAGCGTCGAAGAAATCTCTGAAGATATCAACGTTGCGAACGTCAGGGCACTCGTCACCAACCTGGTTGAAGACCTGAGCGAGCGCGGAACCGCCCAACGTCTTGCGGCCGAACGAGAGGTCGACGAACATAAGAACGCTCTCGCCAACATCCTCAACACGCTGGAGAGCGGGAGTCCATGTCTTGGTGATGTCACCAACGGGTGCGAAGGCGGAGACGACAAGGGACATGGGGGCTGTGACTTCCTTGGCTTCTTTGGTGGCCTCGTCCTTCCATTTCATCTTCATGGACATCGAGTCCTTTCCAACCGGAATGCTGATACCAAGCTTGGGGCAGAGGTCCATACCGATGGCCTCTGCGGCCTCGTAGATTGCGGCACCTTCGCCAGGGTGGCTGCTGGCCGACATCCAGTTGGCGGACAGCTTAACTTGGCTCAGACGGTTGACTAAGTCGGAAGCGGCAATGTTCATAAGCGACTCAGCAACAGCCATCCGAGCGGAGGCACCGCCAGAAATGAGAGCCAGGTTCGGTCTCTCACCCATGGCCATCGCCTCACCGGTCTTCATGCCGGGAAGCAGCGAGGTGGCAGTGACTGAGACATCAGAGACAGGAGTCTGCCATCTGCCAACCATCTGGTCACGGGCAGTGAGACCACCAACAGTTCTGTCGCCAATGGTGATCAAGAAGGACTTGGAGCCGACTGCAGGAAGAGACAGAACTCTGTTGACAGCTTCGCCAAGGAGTTCTCCGCTGTTCCCAGCCAACGAAGGCAAGTATGTGGTAAGGCTGGCATCAATGGCGGGCAGCTTCAATTTGCGAGAGTCCACGACCCTGGTCATCTTTGGTGGCTTACCAAAGAGGACGGACAAAGGTAGGTCAATGGGCTTGGGGTACTCGGGAGAATCTCTGTCGAGAAGAACGAGTCTCTGCTCTTCCTCAGAAGTACCGCCTCCACGACCGACGACAGAGAAGCCGCAGCGCTCACGCTGGGCAATAGCAGTGAACTTGTTCATGCTGTCCTCACCAATGGCCATAACATACCGCTCTTGGGCTTCACAACACCAGATCTGCATCGGACTCATGCTCTTGTCAGTGTTGTCAATTTCACGCAGCTCGAAGGTAGCGCCCAGACCCGAGTCGTCGATCAGTTCAGGAAGAGCGTTGGACAATCCACCAGCACCGACGTCGTGGATGAATTTGATGGGGTTGTTTTGTCCCATGGCGACACAGGCGTTGATGACTTCCTGGGCTCTTCGCTGGACTTCGGCGTTGCCTCTCTGCACACTAGCGAAATCCAAGTCTGCAGATCCTTCGCCAGAGGTGATACTAGATGCAGCACCACCACCCAGTCCGATAAGCATGGCAGGACCACCCAGGACGACGAGGAAAGCACCAGGCTTCACAGCATCCGGCTTCTTGATGGCGTGCTGAGGTCTGACGGTACCGACACCACCAGCAAGCATGATAGGCTTGTGGTAGCCCCTGAGCTCCTTTTCACCGTTCCCGATATCAAGCTCAGTAAGCAGTGTACGGAAGTACCCAGCAGTGCAAGGTCGTCCAAACTCATTGTTGTAGGCAGCGCTTCCGATAGGAGCTTCCAACATGATGTCCAAGGCACTTGCGATGTGGTTAGGCTTGCCAACGTCAAGTTCCCACGGCTGCTTCAAGCCAGGAATCAAGAGGTCGGAAACACAGTAGCCAGCCAATCCGGCCTTGGGCTTCGATCCGCGTCCAACTGAACCTTCATCACGGATCTCTCCACCAGAACCTGTGGCGGCACCAGGGTAAGGAGAGACTGCTGTAGGATGGTTGTGAGTTTCAACCTTGGCCAAGAAGTGAACCAGCTCTTTGGTGTGATTCCACTCTCCGGTGAAGGAATCAGGGGCCCACCATGCGGCATCAGAGCCTTCCAGCACGGCTGCGTTGTCACTGTAGGCACTGACGGTGTGATCTGGGTGTTTCTTGTGGGTGTTCCGGATCATAGCGAAAAGACTGTTCGGCATTTCTTGTCCATCAATTACCCATGCGGCGTTGAACTGCTTGTGGCGACAATGTTCCGAATTGACCTGAGCAAACATGAACAGTTCGACATCGGTAGGGTCGCGGGCGATAGCACCGTTGGGACCGTAAGCCTCTGCTAGGTAATCAATTTCCGACTCTTCCAACGCCAATCCCAGCCGCTTGTTTGCTTCCTGTAGAACTTCCTTGGGGGACTTGTCGCTTCCGTGGAGCTGGATTGTTTGGAGGGGCTGGCGAGCTTGTTCGGAGAACATCTGCTGTAAATTGGGTTCATCCTGACTGATAATCTGTGTCATCCGGTCGTGCAAGACATCCTGGTATCCAGGCTTGAAGTCTCCGGTGTCAGCACGCAAACACGAGATCTTCATACCTCGTTCAATGCGGTTGACGGTGTTGCGCAAGCCGCAGACGTGGGCGATAGCGGTGGCTTGCGAACTCCATGGGGAAATGGTGCCTGTCCGAGGGAAAATATAGAAAATGTCAAAAGGACCCTCTTCGGCACTGAAGGTCTCTGGGATATCCGTAATGTCGCCGTAGCGGAGGAGCTGATCCAAGGTGTTCTTCTGGTGTTCGTCTAACGGCTGCGAAGCATGGACATAGTGAACCCACTGAGTCCGGACCTCACGGGCACCGATGCTTGCTGCAACCGCACGGCCCCGAGAGCGGGAGAAGGCGACCGAGCCCGGGAGGGCCAGAAATGTGTCGTTACTAGTTGTAGCAGCCATCGTGAAGGCGCACGAAGGCCTCTCTTTTTTCGACTTTTTTTTTCTCCGGCGGCGATCAGACGTCCGACGGGGGTATCGGGAATGGAAAGGGAAGGGTCGACTCGAGAACGAAACAAATCAATCAAGTAACCCAGAGCTGATAGAGAATGAAACGGCGTGTCTTGAGCACAATATTAACTGCCACAAGACAAGCACCGTAGGCGTTGGCAATGTCCAGACAAAGTGAAGGTCAAAATTTCGCGCCCACTCGAAGCCCCGCGCTATCCCGCTTCTGGCTTATCTTATCATGCACGTGACATTGCCGGACAAACCTTTTACCATTTGCCTTCGATTGCCCTTTTGGTGAAAGGGCGTCGAAGAAAGACGATAGGTTGATAGTATGTTTGTTTGCCATGGTGTCTGCTTGTGGAAGGAATAAATGCAATAAGCATTGTTGAGCCATTCGGAAGGCTGTGCTAAAGAAGTGTCAGGTAAGCATGGTCATACATGGTGCCATTCATGAATGTATATTTCCGGCTTTACTATGGGAGGAACTAGTGGAACATGGACTCTTGGTTTGGCTTTTGATCTGCAAAGAGCGTGCACACGACATTGACATGCCAATTCACGGAATTTGGTTCGTACTCTACATACGGTATGCATCCAAAGCACTACTCCGTGCTTTAGCCGCGTTCAATCTTGGGTTCCACGACAGACAGTTGATGAAAGTGGATGCATCCCCTAACATAGAACAGAACCATAAGAAAAAGAGGACAGAAAACGGCACACACGCCATGAGTACTCAACTTGTGTCTGGAAGGACTTGGCAAGATGGAAACTCGGCGCATGCACGGAGTCCATCCCGAACGCATAAAGTAAACTGGTAATTGATAGTGGGGCACTCGAGTAGAGCCTAGAAAAGGAGACCAAAGAGAACCATGGGGCAGAGTGCAGGATTTTGATATTAATTTACAGAGCGCTTGGCACATGGCAAACAGTTTATTTCCCGAAAAGGAATGTATAGATTTCATCCCGATAAGGTAATACGACCCGACTTTAGCATACTCCATGCCCAGGAGTCCGGCGTACTGGCTGCATGGAGTAGAAACTGATATTTGCGCAAAATGATCTGCAGGTCACGAGTTTTCTAAACTTTACTTGCATTGGACAAACTGTTGTTGCTGGATACGTTCATTTATACATCGCCACATAAAAGCCAAAGCGTCGGTTGCAAAGATTAACATGAATGTCGACAACCGCAAGCCTGGTCCTACGTCATGAGTGGCTTCAATTTGATATGTAAAAATGACATCGGTTCTAAGATGGCACCGAGTACGAAATAGGCTGTGTGAGCGGAATTCAGAACTGTAAAGCATCCACGCCTGTCTAGCCACATGGAACACGGAACCACCCGTACGGCCATGGTGGATAGGCTTGTGACCCACCAGATTTTATCTTCATTTGATCCAGAAATTTTGATCGATTTTTCACGGAACATGCCGTATGCAGTAGCATCTTCTATGTGCCGGTGGATATCCTTCTATAGCTCGACATAGATGGCATCAATATTTTGCCATATACTTCGCCCAAGAAAGATTGATCCATTTTTTTTATCACTACTATTCTCTATCTTCGTGAAAAACAAGACAAAAATATGACCTTACTTGGACTGTTGAAGTCCCGATAAGCAGTCCGCCGTGGTATATTACCATATCAGGCTAGCGTATATTCCCGATCGGGAAACCGAAACAGGGCCGACGGAGACGCGGGCCGGGATCATGCCAAAAAGGGAATCTTAATTGACACTTGCCCTGATCTTGGATCCTGACCTGATATGTGGCTTACGGCGCCATGGCCTATAAAGACCGTCTGTTATCCCCTCCTCTGGGGACTCCAGACACTGCAACCAGTCCAACAAAACGTGTGTATTTCTCCACAACGGCAAGATGCAGGACGAATACTCCCATAACGCCTCGAGCCGGACTGTCTCAGTCGCTGACGGGACTGGCCCGTTGGGCCCCGTCGATTTACCCCTCCGTGAATTGAATGAGAATGCAAACCTCGAAGAATACACCAGAGAAACGGCTTCTGGGAAGATTCCCAAACGTGTTCCAACCAACGATGGGGGGATGGAAGATTACAAACTTGTGACCTTCAAGGAGGACGACCCAGACAACCCGAAGAACTGGTCCAAATTGTTCAAGTGGTACATCACAATGGTCGTTGCTTTTACGTGCTTTGTCGTCGCTTTAGCCAGCAGTGTTGTCACGGCCGATTTTCCAGGCGTGATGGAGTCGTTCAATGTCTCTCGTGAGGTTGCACTTCTTACCGTCACTGTGTTTGTCATTGGATTTGGTGTTGGTATGTTTTCTCCAATCTCCCCTTGCCAGGACTCCAAGCTAATTCATTCAAGGTCCTATGGTATTTGCTCCGATGTCAGAAATGGTGGGACGCCGACTGGTCTACGGGGTCACGTTATTTGTTGCAGTTATCTTCGTCATCCCTTGCGCGGTGGCCCAGAACATCGGCACTCTTATCGTCTGCAGAGCGATTGATGGCATTGCCTTTAGTGCTCCAATGACCTTGGTTGGTGGCACACTTGCCGACCTCTGGAGAAACGAGGAAAGAGGTGTGCCCATGGCCGCTTTCTCAGCAGCCCCATTCCTTGGCCCCGCAATTGGCCCGCTTGTCGGTGGTTTTCTGGGTGATGCTAGCGGCTGGAGATGGCTTTACTGGCTGCAGTTGATCCTGGCTGGTGTGGCTTGGTTCTTAATCACCTTCACCGTTCCCGAAACTTACGCACCCATAATTCTCAAACGTCGAGCAAAGAAGCTGCGGAAAGCCGAGAACGACCCGAAGTACGTCACTGAAGGAGAGCTCAATGCCCTGCCTATGAAGGAAAAGCTGCAGATTGTTCTTCTCCGACCCTTCCAGCTTCTGTTCCTGGAACCCATCGTCTTGTTCATCGCCATCTACATGTCTGTTCTGTATGGTTTGCTGTACATGTTCTTCGTTGCGTAAGTGGCCCCTGTCTACTTTTTACTTTTGACACGGTCCTAATCCTTCGAATAAAGCTATCCTATCGTTTACCAAGAAGGTAAAGGATGGAGTGCCGGATCCACTGGTTTGATGTTCATTCCACTTGCCATCGGAGTCGTCATGAGCGCCATGTGTGCTCCCTTTGTCAACAAGCATTATCTCCACGTCTCTGCACAGTACAACGGAAAGCCCCCTGCCGAAAAGCGATTGATTCCCATGATGCTTTCGTGCTGGCTCATCCCAATCGGACTCTTCATCTTTGCCTGGACCTCTTATCCCAACATTCATTGGTTTGGACCTGCCATTGGAGGCTGGCCAGTCGGTTTCGGTTTCATCTTCTTGTACAACTCGGCAAATAACTACCTTGGTATGTTTACTTTTTTCATTCTACAATCTTCACAAAAGCTCAGAGTGCTAACATTGCTGCAGTCGACACCTATCAGCACCAAGCAGCATCTGCCCTTGCCGCAAAGACCTTCCTCCGGTCCATGTGGGGTGCTAGTGTTGTTCTGTTCACTGAGCAGATGTACGGGCGCATGGGTTACCAATGGGCCAGTTCATTTCTTGCCTTCCTCGCGTTGGCTTGCTGTGCCATCCCCTATGTTTTCTACTTTAAGGGAGAGGCGATCCGTCGGTACTCCAGATACGCCTTTGCCGACGATGAGGAGCAGCAGGGCCCTGAAAAGCACTAAGTGCTCATCGAAATACTCTTATATTAATTTGTTCAAGGCCCATCCGGGCTTTTTGGTTTGGGATACACTACTTCGTTTGATTTTTCATGATTCATGTTGCATGATTTTCATAAAAGACGTTGGCGTTTTGTGATGCCTACGGGGCGACTTGAGGAGATACCCTGTACAGATTTTACTTATAAACAATAGATATAACTAGATTTAATGGTAGTTAGTCAATTTTATAATTCATTGTCATGATATTTGAAGTTCAAAAGCATTTGGTTTATTGAGCACTCCAGGTGCATCCCTTATCGAACTGACTTTATATCAGCTTAGCCTAATTAAGGGTCGTATGAGAGACTACATTGAGGTAAACTAGCAAGAATTATGCTAGTGCGGATAGTAACGAGACATCCGTGGATAGCTTGCAGATATCCGCGAATTTGCGGATTTGGATGCGGATTTGCCGCAGCCTAGCCGTTTCAATAGATGCCCTGCCGCTGGGACGGCGTATGACATGACCAATCAACACAATAATATCACATGCTCACATTCCTTGGCGGGAACGGCGACGACGGCAGTATATTCCATAGGTCTTAGCAACTCTAATAGTCATCTCTCATCTCACTACATCTTATTGCCTGCAAATTTCTTTCCCAATCTGACTTGAAATATTTTTGATGAGAAACTGACACGTATCGCTTGCCTGTGTGTGTAACAAGGCTGTCGGAAACCCTCTTCTTACAGTACTTCTGAAAGGAAATTTGAAGATCCTTTTAGCAGCGCGTTTCTCCAATGAAGAGTGAACGGACCCAGGAGATTGAACAGGCAAACTCGAATACACTAGAGCCTAAGGTAGAACTCTTTCTGCATAGACAGGATGGTTTCATTGAATGGACCAATATCCTCAATATAAACCGGCATCTTCTTTCCAGGTTGGGTGTCTAGCCTGTTTTCTTGAACAAAATATTTGATACCTGTTACTAGTTAGAGCAGAAAGCCCAGCAGATTGTAAGAAGTATAGCTTTCGTTACTTACTCTCCTGCACTTCTGAGCCACCCTCATCATGAATTTTGGCCTTGGTTAACTTTTGGTAAAATCCTTGAAGGTTCTTCTAATTTGTCTCTGAACAAGATGGACTTGCTGATGCCTTTCAATCACTAGTCTTCTTTCCCTCGCCGGTGCTTAAGACGCCAGCCTAAAATAAGTACATGTTATTGTTTGATGCCTGGCACAGGGCCTTCTCGGATTCCAGCCATTTTAAGATCTCAGACTCCAGACATGTTCTGCTATTACCGTACCTATAACCTCATCAGCAGAGACTGACTAAGATGCAGCACTGCCAGAATAACAAACAGTTTCCTGTAGGTTTCAATCAGTATCTACTTGGATACTTGTAGATAGACCTCGCCCCTACCCGCGGGTGATCAAACAGGACAAACAGTACTATATTAGGATGGATCATCATTTTATGCATACAAATCAGGTAAAGCGTGGAAATTTTATGGAAGTGAGGGTCGACGAGGATCTGCGAAGGACACCCGTACGAGACTCAGCGAGGGTTGAGGGTTGGGTGAAGGGTCCAAAGTTCGGACCCTCATGAGGGTCTGGGCGAAATCTATTCAATTTGCTCTTGCTGCAAGATTGCTCCTTCTGCTTTGTCAAAATCTTCGGGGATCTCGAACAGGTCGATCCCAGTATCATAAAGCGGATTGTCGTAAAATTCACCCATGTCATCAGATCCTCCTGATTCTAAAGCATAGTGGCTTTCATCCGCCCAAAGATATTTTCATGGACTCAGGGTATTGTCCAGCTCCATCAAATTCGCCTCACAAGTGGCGTCGCCGCGTCACACTGTTCATCTGAGTCAGTGCTGCTGCTTATGATGTTGTTTGCAGTACAGTTACTTCCCAGATGTCTACTCTGTCAGGACTGTGAGCATCTCATAGCTTAGGTTCAACAAAATCTAGGTAATAAACAAACGCTGATTTTGTATGGAGAGGGAGGGGTGGAAAGTGAGATGAAGACACAGCAAAGCTAGAGAGCAAGTACAAAGCAGTGAGAAAGCTTCTTATTCATGCAGTAATGTGGAAATTAATATATGGGAAGATAGGAAGGTGGCAGGATGAGTGGAAATTGAGGGACAAACATAGAGAAGAGGCCATGATCAAAGAGTGGGTGCCACGGCCACGGTTCTAGGGTGCATTCTAAAAAGATAACCGTTGCATCAGGAGCAAAATACTAGGATACTAAGCCGATAGGCTTAGTACTGCACTCACTTATATAGTTAGGTGGTTCATGCCGTTACAGTGGGTGCCATGGCGGCCCGGGCTCTAGTACAGTGTCATGAGGCCATTTTCAGCGCCCTCATGGAACGGCGACTGCAACCGTGATGGTGAAGCAGAGAGGTGAGCATTCGTCGATTGGAGAAGGATGGAACGCCCACAGTAGGGGTCCTGAAACAAGGAGACAGGGTCAGGGTGCGTATTCGTAAACACATGGCCGTAGTGAAAGATTCAGGTCACGTGCTACCAAATGACGGCCGAAAATGGCGTCGTCTGAGGTCAAAAATGGCAGCCATTTGGTAAATAGAAATTTTACGGAGTAATATATAGTATTCTTCCCAAATTTGCAATCTACCACTAGACACAATACGTATGTTTCGTACACGAAAGGATATGTAGAATAGGGCTAGGGTTTCCTATTGTGGATGGAGCCCCGCCTATCATCACGTGATGCCGGGCAGTTTAGTAACGACCAAAGCTTGACGTCGCGCCCAACGGGGTGGTTCATTCATTAGCGCAAGACCCGGGGAGAGATCAAATATTCCGTTTCCGCGAAAGCAGCAGTTGCAGTACCAGGGGTGCTTAATTGAGATGGCTCGACAATAACCATAATAACGGAGACTGCAGTTTGTTTATCGATTTTTATTTCCGCATTTTCTTCCGCATCCTGTCCGTCGAAACATCTTTGGTCATTCATCGCCATTGCGCACACCCGAGGCGAGCAACGAGTTGAAACAAAATAAGGGGTGCCATTCGAGAAAACTTGAGCGACTCATATCCATATATACAGTTTAATACGAAATAATTCACATGGCATCGCCATACCAGCCCTCCATGTCGTACTCCCCTGCCACCACCTCCGACATGGCGGCTGGCCCATCCCGCTCCGTCTCCGAACTCCCGCAATCCCAAGTCGACGCAATCATCCGCACGAAGCGAAAAGCGCGTGAACCAAAAGCCTGCTACCCATGCCATGCGCGGAAAGTCAAATGCGACCGGAACCTCCCCTGTGATGGCTGCGTGAAACGCGACCACGCAGACTTGTGCTCGTACGAACGGCCTGTAAAGAAGCGCACCACGGCTACACCAACATCAACAGCAGCTACTAGCAGTGCTGCGCCGCAGACATTTCGGAATAGCCCTGTCGCTGGGCCTACGTCTGCGGTTGAGGATGGTAGTGCTCCTTCGATCCGGGTGAAGCAGGAGCCGGGGTTGTCGAGTGGAGGAAATGCCGCGGCTTCCGCTACGGCGGCGGCGGGGAACGGGAACGGGAATGGTCGAGTATCTATTGCGCGCGAGGAATGGGATAATGTTCGCAGTCGGTTGAGGGAGATGGAGAAGACGATCACGACTTTGCGGGTTGGGTTGGATAGGGCGGAGGAAGGGAATGGGTCGATAATGGAGACGGGGAGTGTACAGAGTGGCGATGCGAGTACCCGGTCGAAAGGTGCTTCGCCAGAGCGTGAGGGCATTCATGCGGCGAATACACTGGGTGAAGGAACTGTTCATTTGGGATCAAGATCGGTCCTGGCATATATTTTGAATAATAAGTCTGGGTCGGACCAGTTGCATACTCTGTTGGAAGGAGGGATTTTGCCCAAGTTGGGTCTTGATAATGAGTCTGCTACATACCCGTTTGTGGACCTGTGGTCGTCGGATATGTCTACGTTTGATATTAGCGCAGTTTGCAGCGCGCTTCCAAGTGATCAGCAGTGCAAAGAGTGAGTTCTTCTCTTGGATTTGTGTACGGAACGGATTCTAACGGATGCAGATTCTTCTTTTACTACAGAGACATTGCTGGCGCCATTTATCCCGTACTCGAAGATGCCCAGCAGTTTGAAAGAATCCTCGACCTGCTTCTGCAGAGTAGAGCATCCACAGGAGGGATGTATCGCGCAGACCCCGTTCAAGCACAGAGGCCGTTTGGCGTGACCATCGCCTTTCTAGGTCTGTTATTCGCCGTGCTTGCGTCGGGATGTCAATCATCTGATCTCCCTAGCAAGGAGAGAGAATTGACTTCTCAAGTATATGGTATGTCTTCACTTACCTTGGAATGCAGTATGATACTTACCAGTCCAGTGTGCTGTTCCTACCAATGCCTGCGGATGACAAACTTTCTGTCACAACCTTCGATTGAAGCCATCCAAACGCTTTTGATTATCGGCAATGTTTTGTCATATAATATGAACCCCGGGATTTCCTACGTGCTTCTTGGTAAGCTGATACTTGAAATTGGACCTGCAAAATGAAACTAACTCTCATAGGTATGACACTACGTATGGGGTTGGCGCTTGGTCTACACGTTGAATCGAGCCGCTTTTTACCAGCTGAACGATACCGGAGAAGACACGTTTGGTGGTCCATGGCATGGCAAGATAGTCATTTCTCGCTCTCCTATGACCGACCGTCTACAACAGCAGTCAGCCAGCCCGACATCGCGTATCGGGAAAATTCGCAACTGAGTGAACTGTCGTATTTCGAAACGCTCTGCAGAATCATCGCACTCGCTTTGGAAGTCGTCCGTAGCCGAATGCTCAGCCCCCACTCACAAATGACACCAAAAACCATCCAAGGCTACAAGGAAAGAATCCAGAAAATAATGATCGAAGCCAAACCAGGCCTGCGCGACCGCAAATACTGTCTTACAGCGACTGAGCATCTGGAACGGGTTGTACTAAAGCTGCATGCGTCGTACTTTACCTCCGAGCTCTGCAGGCCAGCGCTCAAGCCACCACCCGGCACGGCAGATCCAATCATCTCCGAAATGCGAGCTGACTGCATTAGCAACTTGATGAAGACGGTCGAGGCGTACGTCGAAATGCATTCAATCAGCTCACATGCGTCCCGATCATGGATTACACTACAACGAGCCATCAGCTGCATTTTCCTTCTTGCCGTCATCGAAGAATCCAAGACAGACACACAATTTTGGACCCTTCTCCAACAACTCAAACTAATCATCGCCGAACGAGCTAGTAATGAATCCGTCTATGAATCAGGCGACCCCTCTGCCGCAGCCGCCGTAACAGCAGCAGCAGCAGCAGGCAACCCCATGACATCCCCGATCCCCGGTACCACCCCGATACAACAGCCAGACCGCAACACCGTCTTCAACACAATCCCCGGAACCACTAACACAACCGCCGCCAGTCCGGGTGCACTTAACGCCACCTCCCCCGTTCCCGCGACAATGGCCGCAGACACACAAACACAATGGGCCAAGCCCCTTACAAAGACCCTCCGCGCACTGGAGAAGCTCGAAGCGGCATTTGCCAACCAGGGCGGTCCTGATCGGTACGCTGATGCTACGGGTACCCCTACCACCGCTGCGGCAACAGCATATCTGAATCCAAATGCTGGGACGACTACGGCTATGGGTGGGTTTATGCCGCCTGTTTCAGGGATGGGATCACTGCCGCCACCGACGCCGGAGAGTTCGACGAGTGGGGAGTGGACGATACCGAATATTTTGGATCGAGCGGCGGAGTATATTCATCCGCCTTTATGGGGGTGATCTTTCATTATCCTCTCTTCGTTTTGTTCCTTAATGACTTTTATCTTGTTTGATTCTGGGATTGCATGAGCTTAGGTTGGGATGATTATGTATGTCTTTATGGTTATATCTTTGTTTCTATGGGTGGTAATTTAATCATTCTTTCCCCTTCTTACATCCTTTTCTTCTTACGCCCTTCTCTTATAATTCCTTCTCTTATCTCAGTACCCTTACATCTATATCTATAATTTTGTTTGTGTACTATAACCAATAGATCTAGTTCCGTCTAATCAAGATAAAAACGGTCTCCCGAGAAAGCAATGTACATTCCTCTTCTAACTCTAGCAACATCACTCTCATCTACCACCATTAGATAATGCCAGAGGCCTAGGTCTAGGTCTAGACCTAAGTTGCTAACAGAGTCGTCTGATTTGTCTGATTATTAGTTTTTCAGGTGAGTCCATTCGGAACAACTGACGATGTCATCGCAACAATTAACTTCTATCCCACAGAATAACTCCCAACAATGCCACCACGCAATCTTTTCCATCCCCAAAATCTTCGGATCAATTCTTCTCTCCATCGGCCCACGCACCCTCCTCCTATCCCAACGAGTCTGCAAAAAGTTCCACATCCTCATAAGCACCTCAAATGCTCTCCGAGAAACATTGTTTCTTAAACCAGCCCGCCATCAGCTGCCATATGGATCTGAAGACCACATTCGGAACTCTCTCGTCGAAGATTATCCCTGGCAACCTCGGTTTTTACAGAGCCACGACGATGCACTTATCAGACAGGAGATGAGCTGGCGGCAAATGGACTTTCAGCAACCTCCAACGTCGACGATTTGTGTCATTGAGTACTCGCAGTTTGGGGGGAAGTCGCAGTACCGGCGGTTTAAATTCACGAAGGCGGGATGCTGTTGACTGCTGTTCCAGGATGGGTGCGAATACGGATTCTATCGGTGCTCTGGTTCCAGGTGAGCACAAGTGGATTGTATGGCATGAGCCGTCTTTTGATCCTGACAAGGCGAGGAGCCTGGAGGAGAAATATGAGAATGAGAGGGCAGCCACGATTACGATGTTTTGGAGGACTGACTTTGTCGTTTTCGCTAGTCTGCAATTATCTTTGTTCGGGGGCATGACATGACATGGGAGAGCCGCAGTTGCCTCACTCGTTGGAGTCGATTGGGAAGGAGGAGTATGCCGAGTATGATGAGGATTGCGATGAGTGATTTGTGCAATCTGCTTTGTGGGATGTGTCGTATGTACTTCTACAATTGCTCAAGGGTCTGGATATCTTACTTTCTCTACTGTACAGAGGAAAGGCGGAGGTAGTGATATATAGAAAACAATATTCTTTTGAGATTACAGGCTGCTTTCTTAGTTTGTAATGTGATGTCTGTGCTGTATGCTGGTCATTCGATATCGATATAGAACGGCGAGGACTCGATATTTCTCCCCATTTCTCGAAGTCTAGTCCCTTTAATGCACTCCAGGCCCGTCTCGGGCCTGGAGTGTATGTTCGTTGTAGATGGATAGGAAGAGCTGACAGCGTGTCGAATTAAGAGGGCTCCGTAGTCACCCAACCACAGGCCTGTTGTCAAGTATCTGTTAGACCCGTTAGTTTCATGGCCAAGCCTTTCGGGGAAGCATCGCTGGATACATACTGAATATGACCACACTGGATCAATTGATCAATCGATTCGATGTCATGTGTCGAAATGGGGAAGACTCGGCCGTCTTCCCCCCAGGCCCATCCCTGCCACCCTACCAGGGCCTGTTGGATATCTAGGATACTATAAAGGTTATTAGAAGGAAAAATAGCATTGACAGGCTTCGATACTTACCTCAATGCGGTCCTTGCTTTTTTTTGTTCCCGCAGGCCCGTCCCTACCACCCAACCAAGGCTTGTTTCTTTTCTGTTCTTTTAACTGGTTTTTTTTTTTTTTTTTTTTTCTTTCTGATTATCTGTTCCCAGGCCCATCCCAACCACCCAACCGGGGCCTGTCTAGTGTTTTGTAGTATGATACTAAGCTGACCGGGGGTAATATTTGGAGATGCCTTACCATGATGCTTGCATATGCATTTGTCCCAAGCCCAACCCAACCACCCAATCCAAACCTGTAAGACCCAAGTTACCAAGTACCAAGACACCGAGACGCCCTACCCAACCCTACCAAAAATCCCGGCGTCAAGGATACCAGGTGAATCAATCTACACTCCCACAGGCCTGATCAGTCGGCCAGACACGAGCACTGGGTGCCACTAGCAGGGACAGAAACAGCGAACCCTAGGTGCTTGGAAAACCGCCGCCCACCCACACCTCAGGTTGATCCAGCGTTCCCTAGAGTGCTTCTGTGTGTTAGTGGGGCTGCATCGTACTGTACTGGCCTCCCACCGTGGGCTGGGTGCTGTTTCTGTGGTATTAGTTATTAGTTTGTACGCCCAGCTCCTGCCCAACCTACCCACCCTGAGCTGTGCGTTTTGGACCTGTTTTAGACGGGAGTGAGGGTGGTATTTGGATATATGATGGGAAAACGTGAAATGTAGATCAAATAAGATAAAGATGACCAAAACAAGGAGGCGAAGAACGAAGGGGATGAAGGGAGGAAGAGAGAAAAAGGAGAGGCGATAATTAGAGAGGGGAGGAGAAAGCAAAGGTACGAAGGCAACCATTCTCCTCGTAAATGATGTTATCACATTCAACGAGTCAGCCAGGCAGCGATGGCACGACCATGGAAGCCTTGAGTATAATGCAATCGAAAAGGACTGCTGAGCTCGAAGAACAATATTATCTCGATATACAAATAAATCTCGTCTGTCTCCCTGCTATATCGGAAGGGCACGGAACGCTTCGTGGTAACTAACTTTTCGTGAGGAGCCTGGAAATTCTAGTCCCAATTATAATATCGTCGCGACCACTTTGACATTAGCAGATGAAGACAGTTAACCAGTGGTGAGCTGCTCTTACTTTGACCTCTAGTCTAAACTATAGAAGCCGAAATCGTAACCCCAAACTCCTCCCTAGGTTCGCCTAACGACGGTGCTTTGTTCAACTTTCACTAGCATCGAGCCATATCCGAGTCAATCCATCCACCGATCTGCTATCTTTGATTTGGGTGACACGTGAAATTCCTCAAATGACTCTGGTGCCTAGCGGAAATATTACCGAGTTCTTTATGGTCATGATGACGAGCAGAAACGCGGTCCAGGAAGCAAAGCAGACCTGTCCTTATGTATGTGGAGAATTGTGCCTCACGAGAGCCAGCTTTGTGTCTTTGGGTTTGATTGCGTCCAGATGTGGGTCATCATCAGACAAGTTAACTGTCGAGACAGAATGATAGCAACTTGTAGAGGCGGATGGCATGTCTTCTAGAACACTGTCGGCCTTGAGACAGGGAATGTGAGACTCGTCTGGCTTTTACCGTGCCGAACAAGACTCCAGGATTTTCCGGTCCAAAATCCCCAAGGTCTTTCTGGTGACCCTTCTTATAGGTAGGTAGAGCATATCGTCCTCCTAGTGTTTTTTATTGATGAATCCTTACCATAGCATAAGATAAAACGGGATGAAAAGATGCAATGCGATATGCTTTGTCATTGCTTCTTTACGGGCCGTTGCATCTGGGACGAGTGTGGGATGGTGGAGGTGGAGCCACCTGTATAGCGGCAACATGTGCGTTGACAGTGTAGTGACAACGAGAGTGTACACACAGCAAGAGTGAGAGGAACAGATAGACCTAAAGCCCAATGGAAACTGCGTCTAAAAGCCCTTCGCCTATATGTGCAAAAGGAAAATAATGTTTAGCTTTTTCTAGTCATGAGAACGAAGAAGTCGAAAGTACTTGGAACTATGAGCTCCTTGTCGGTAGTTATCTTGAACTATCTCTCTTTCCTTTAATGGTTCCATCCAGTGAGCCATCCATGCACTCCGAAGCTCGTCATCACGAAGATTACCATGCAATTCGAACTCATGCAATACCAGCTCCTTAACACAGCCGCATCTATCTTCGTATATGAGGAAATCACAATCCCTCAAATGCGCCGGCGTTGGACTATTCCCTGCATGATATTCCTCGCACATTATCACGACATGCGGCATTGCGAGGTCATGGGGCGGTTACAGCCAGAGAACACAGGGTGCGTGGTCAGACATAGAACCATCGTCCAGTGCCGGAGCAATATCCTTCAACGGAAGGATGTCATTATCAGGCTTCAAGAACCGCATGCGTGTGTACAGCGGGGTTTCTACCCACCAATGTTCGTAGTAGATAACGCCGACATGGGATGTTGGGGGTTGCTAGAATAGCATCCGTTTCCAGTTGGCCTCTGGCGAGTATAACGATTATCATATTCAGAATTGTCCCCACCCTCGTCCTCGGAATCCCAATAGTCATAGGCATTCTTCTTTCTCCTTGTCGAATCGTTTGTCCATTAACCAAGGCCAAACAAGTTCCTTGGCAATGGGGTTCCGCATACGCCTGGGACCATATGGCAGTTCATACCTGACAGGTTTGAAGAGAGCCTCCTGGAGGTTATGTGAGTTGTTAATGTGCGTGTTCCATGTCTGGCATACACGCTGGGATAGTAGTAATGTGCGCCTGTCTGTATTGATGGGGACTTGTTCTAGGATTTCACATATGGACAAGGCCTTTTCTGCCATCCTGAAGATCTGAAGCTATGATGTTAAGTTGTCTTGTGTCAGAATCTAGCCTGGGTGACAAGATGACATAATAATTAGCCCTAGTAACTACAGTTTTTTGCTTGCATTGTTACTTTGGCCATAATACTAGTATCGGATTCGTTTTATTTCGACGTGAAAAGACCCTGTCGCGCTACAGATTAGAATCAGATAAGATTGACCGATTGACGCGCGTATTCGACGATCGCGATCTTTTCGGGCGTGTTTATTTCGCTTATATTCTCCATTTTTTCCCTCCTTGTTTCCCCTGCGTTTCCTCTTCTCTTTTACAACATTCTCCTTCCAATTGACTCTGCACGAGTAGTGTTATCACCATGGCCCCCCGTCGTTCACAGGATGCCGACCGCAAACTCGAGAGCGGACAGGCCAGCCAGTCCGCCAACACTGGTTTACATCCTGCTGTTTACATCGCGTGAGTTTCGCGGGCTTTCATGAACATCTCGTTGAAATTGTATACTAATATCGATCAGCCTGTGGATTGCGCTGAGTTCGAGTGTTATTCTTTTCAACAAATGGGTGCTTGCGACCGCTAAGTTCAGTGAGTCTTCGGGCCCCTTTTTATGCGATTCTGTGATTTTGTGCTAATCTCAATCTAGATTTCCGTAAGCCGCGACTGTATGCTGTTTGCGATCAAGCAAATTATTGACTCTTCTAGCGCTATTCTTGACAACATGGCACATGGGATTCGCGACCTTTATGACCCAGATTCTGGCGCGGTTCACCGACAAACTGGACTCGCGGCATAATGTTCCCATGAACCCGCGGACTTACACGTATGCCATATCAAAATCATTACCATTGAGAATGCAGCTGATTCGCGGCAACCAGTCGCGCCATTGTGCCTATCGGACTTATGTTCAGTTTGAGTCTTATCTGCGGAAACCTGTCGTATCTGTATCTCTCTGTGTCTTTTATTCAGATGCTCAAGGTGAGTCTTGACCGCCAAGAAAACGGAATGGAATATCGATCTGACAATAAAAGGCCACCAACGCCGTCGCGACTCTCGTAGCAACCTGGGCCTTTGGCATTGCGCCCGCTAATCTCCGCACGTTGGGCAATGTGCTCGCGATCGTGGTTGGTGTCGCGATTGCATCGTTCGGGGAGATCAAGTTCGATATGTTTGGATTCCTGAGTACGTCACCTTGCCCGTTTTCCCCTCTCTGGAATATGGATTCTAACGAATCAACAGTCCAGGTCGGCGGTATCATCTTCGAGGCCCTCCGTCTCGTTATGGTCCAGCGCCTTCTCAGCTCCGCTGAATTCAAGATGGACCCTCTGGTCTCGCTGTACTACTACGCGCCCGCATGCGCCGTGACAAACGGCGTCGTCACCTTGTTCACTGAACTCCCCCGCATGACCATGGCCGATATCTACGGCTTGGGTATGGGTACATTGATTGCTAACGCAATGGTTGCGTTCTTGCTTAATGTCTCCGTTGTCCTCTTGGTAAGCACTCCCTCTCTAGTTGGTTACCAAACCACAGTGCTGATGATTGTAGATTGGCAAAACCTCCGCTGTGGTGCTCACCATGGCCGGGATCCTCAAGGATATTCTCCTTGTTTTCGCGTCCATGGCTATCTTCCGCGATCCCGTTACCTTCCAGCAGTTTGTGGGTTACTCGATCGCCCTGGGCGGATTGGCGTACTACAAGCTTGGAGCTGAGAAGATGAGTGCTCTTCTGAGGGATTTGCGTGCGAGTTTGTGCGGGTAAGTATTATCTCGCGAGTCCTACCGGGGAGAGAATTCTTGCTGGACTTTGGGGGGTGGTTATGCTCCATCTCCGTGTTATTTTCTCGGTAAGCGCCTGTATTGGCGCTTAGGCTGTTTGTCTAAGAACTTGGTGTGATGTTGGTATTGTGTTGGGTGGTTTAGATTACTTTGTGTAGATATGAGTGAACATCCAGCTGGCTGGGTATACTGGAGGCAAGGAGCAGCGGTTTATTCCCGTATACCGTCTAGCTTCATTACATTTTTGGATTAATCGCCATAAGATAGAATGAAATTTGTTAAGTACATGAATGGCCAACAGACTGGTAAAGAATGTAAATCTGGCACTATATATCTGCCTTGATCTCGCCATGGTATAGCCGGAATGCTTCAGTGCCAGCTAATTCTTTATATGGAATTGATTCCATGTTTTTTTTTTTTTTTAATCTCCAGACCTCGCCCGTTCCTTGCTTCAGACAACAAACCAAAAGCGAGTCCACAGATAGATAAACCTTCAGCATTAGTGTCTCATAATGATAGTACTGCTTGATACACAAAAACCCGAGCATCTTGTAGGACCAAGTTTCGCCACCTCTCCTCGATGAGCTCCCTTACGTCCACCCAAGTCCCCACCGTTTGTCCATTTTTTTCACCGGTTTGAAAAGAAAGTGCTTTCCTGGGATCAAGGGCCTACTAAGCTTCTTAGCCACATTGCATGTTTTGGTACAGTAATGTGCGTTGGTCAGCATATGGGGGCGGACAATGAAAGAAATGGGCTCTCGAGGAAGAAAGATTGCACAATATGTATTTCCGAATATTCAAAACCGGCACAACCTAACAAAGTCCCAGAAAAGTGGAGCTCTTGTGTGATAAAGGCACGATCATAGACGGTCTGCATTTCAATGAGATTCGGTGCATAGTACACACGAACAGCTTCGATCGACACCGCACGTTTCTCTGGCTTGGCTAGGATAGCTGATAGTCAGTAGCTGGCTCGTTCAATATCATTTACTATTCACATTCGAATAGTCAATAAGAAGCGTGGCAATCTGTTGTGACGCCGGACTTCCACTTTCCCAAGTTTTCGTCGTGTCTGTATAATGGCTTAACACAACATCATAGTAGCTTCCAGACAAGAAGGTAGTACTTATTATCATCATCTCTGTTGTGTAGTGACCATGGCCAGCCGTCATGAGTTCACTTAACAATTCTGCATGATTCTTCGATGCCGAAATTTTGGCACGCCACCAAGGACCAAGGAGTAGACCAACTGCCGTAAATAAACGATTACCGTCAGAAGGGATGTTATCTTTGTGTATAAGAATCCCAATTTTGTCTCGAAACTGGCTTCTTTCGATAAGTCTGTGAAGGCCATTGCTATGGCTTGGTGTGGTGCAATTTTCTCTAGCAACCAGAAACTTTTTCCAGAGGTATCATTGGGAGCTCATCTTGAGTCTCAGCAGTAACTTGGCGAGAAGCTTCCACACAAATGTATCGACAGTAACCAATGGAGAGTGACTGTCCAGGTGTGGATCCCGGAGGCATAGCTGTCCGTCGCTATACCTTCTCGTTTCTCCACCATGTGTTCGGCATGATAGACTGTTGCTAAGAGCAATAACCGAAACCCTGTCCAAATGGGACAGAAAAGTGTGTGTTCTCCACCTACCCATACGTACGAGCAGCTGACGCCAAGCTGATTGCTCCTAACATTGAAATGAATCCGCACCATCAGAGCACTAAGAGAGAAAGTCGGCCGGTGATTTTATGTATGCCAGTGGCTCGTCCTGGAAGTACAATGGTCTTCAAGGACTGAGTAGGATTGGCGACTCATGCCTCTGAATGATTATCCCAATGCCTGTCCACATTAAATCTGAATGAAAACCAGATTTCTATGCAAAATTAAAGTTGCATCTGATAGGCTACTTTCCAGTGTAATGTAGGGCTCAACCTGGAAGCTCATTTGTCTTATTCCGAACGGCAAATGGATCTCTGGTAACGAACGAAGAACAATTCGCTCACGTCTATAAACGAGAGGACGCGGCTGCACCAAGCAGGTTTGCCTCATCCAACGAACGCTGCCTGATCCTACCACAGAGTAGTCAGTGCACATGTGTCGGGTTTGGCAGGTGTGAGAGGCGTATATTTCCAAACCTCATGTAAAGTCTCCCTTCAGCAAGCATTAAAACCATATCTCTTATAATCGCCCGTCTTCGGAATGGTAGCTGCAAGATACGTTGGAGATAAGAGACCAGCCAACCAATCCACACATTCATCGACATGATCGCGAGATGTCATCTTTTGTCGACAGGTAGATGACAGAAAGAGGGGAGGGAAACTAGATGATTGCCTTCATGCGTCATTATATCGCTGTATTTTTGCTCGTGCAGCCGTGTCCTGGGAACAAGCAAATTCATCTACCCTCCTACACAGCCGCCGTGAGTGGTTTTATTCCGTTCCTCCCTGTCAGTCTCTTCTGTGGTGTCGTGTTCACTTCCGGTATTCGACACGGCGCACACGGATGGCCCGGTGTCCTTGTAGGGACTGAGATGAGCAAACTCTGTTTCTGTTCGATTGATGCGCTGTTCCCAAATGAAACTGCAGAGCGTAGTCGTTTGTCCGATTTGAACAATTACCAGAACGACCAGCGCCGGTACACCGTACTAGCAACTATAGTTCATTTTACCACTTGGGTTCCGAGGCTATAGGTGATTGGGAATTCATATCTTCGTATAATCTTGCCACTTAGGAAGACATGTATGTGCCTTTTTAAGTGCCAAATATTTTTCATGTTGAGAAACCCCCCTCCCCCACACACTTATGGAAGGTTATACCATGCATGCATGATTGTCTGTGATCCTCTACTTCCGTTATATCAAGGCGATAGCTTTGTTTAGAACCCAAAATTATAGGCGTTGTATAGTGCGTGATTTGGTTTTGGTGTTTTTGTATCCAAGCCAGGCCTAACAAACACCTGGCAACGAGTCGTATGTCCCATATGACCGTCAATTTTTCAAACCAGACAGGAACAGCACGAGACGCTACACCATGGGGTTCATCTTTCTGGTGATGACTGGCTCATTCTGTGCGGCTAGCATTCGTACCAGAGTGTATGGTTTGGTTTGCCCCGTAAGGCGTCAAGGTCATCTGTGATTTGATAAGCACCGCGTTATATGACCGTCTAAATCGCAAGTTAGCACGAGTCTTGCTCTGCCGTTCTTCAGCAACGAGTAGATTATTCTGCGCAGTCAACCAGAGTGTGTAGTCAGACTTTCCTCCAAGATCCAAGATTATAAATGATTTGACCGTCCAGATGGCAGACGGGACGAGGTAGACCCGCTTAGCCACCGCCAGTGCAGCACCACATCATGCCAGGCTGAATGGTCCGATCATGTAGCTGATAGGCAACATGCATTTTCGTGTATAGTTGATTCCTATTTAGAAGAAAGGAATGACACAGTGCGAGCGCGTGGTCGAGCCATATAACATAAGCAGGGCCACAGAGCCACACAAGAGGCTGCTACACTATTTTGCTCCTCTATTCCGTTTCATGGCCACAATGTTGAGTGCCAAACGCCAGCGCCGCATGATACCACAATGCATAATCGCATTCCTAACTCGATGATAGTGGAGATCGGCTTCACTTGGAAACGAAAAGCATGCGCCGCAAACAGCGAGATTTTATCTCTGAGGGCTTTCATCTACCCATGTACCATGACAATAGCATGGGGTAATTAAGGTGAAGCAGAACTATATCTGTTCCATTCCAACTATGTCTGGTGGCTTGCCTCGAGAACCGTGTTGTACCATAGCGTGTAGTCCCCTTTCCCATTCGATTCAAGGCGGGATATGGAGATTTGGCTGCCCGTATCTTCATGTATTCCTTTGCTTAAAACACAATTGTTGCTATCTCCCGAGGTGTGGGGTCTCCCATGCCACTTATGGACGATGAGCAAGCAGGTTTATCCACCCGTGCATGAGAACATGCACAGAATACGTGGGCAAGATACCGCCAGGATGAGCTCATTTCGCTTCGCTTCAGCGATTACTAGATTATATGGGCTGCGAGCCAAATCATACCACAGCGTGTAGTCAGCTTTTCGTTCCAACGCTTGATGTTGGTATGTAGGGGCTCAGTAACCCGTATCTTTCTACATTTCTGTTCGAAACATAGGTGCCCACGCCGCGTCATCTGTCGATGTGGTAGGTCTATTCACCCGCGCATTAGAAGGCGGATTAACTGCGTGGGTGTTTATTGCAAGGGAGGGTGCACGGCTCAAATCGTGCAAGCTATTGGTGGTTTCAATGAGATCGACGACATGTATCTCGGTCTAAGCGGCTGCTGTTTTCTTGATGGGGGAGTTGGAAGGACGAAGAGGAATGATGAGGATGAGGATTGGGGATTGTAGGTCTTTTCTAATGCTGAGACTAGAAGGTGAATAGGTAGCAAGTGTTATTCTGGTTTTATTGCATCGGCTATTCACTAAGGCTTTTTTTTTTTTTATGGGGTAAACTGTTGCAGTAGAACATGACGTCGTAAAGCCGGTATGCTAGAGCTGGATCTGATTCAATTCAGTGAAAGTCGACCATGGTATATTACTCCGTATATCATATCCTCATCAATTATTTAACAAGATCGTAATAACTAGACAATAATATAAGCAAGATTACCTTTTCCTCGGACTAACCAATGCATGGAAGCCCAACGGCTTCACACTAAACGCCCCGTTATAATTTACTCCCGCGTTAGCAACCTTATAACCAGCATCCGCTTCCTCGATATCAATATCGCGCAGGATAGCCACAAGTGCAAAGAACGACCAGTCATACGCATACTTCTTCCCGATACACTCGCGCTTGCCGTTACCGAAGCCCTTCTTCACGCCAGATGGCAGTCTGTCGTATTTCTCGCCGACCATGCGCTCCGGTTTGAACGCGTTGGGGTCCTCGAAGACATCAGGGTCGCGGTTGACCTGCGACAGAATGGCGATGATGGGCTGGTTGGTTGGGATTTCGTACTTGCCGTCACCCAGCGTGACAGGGCCCTGGGTATCGGGGATAGGTTCGATGTTGAAACCGGGCGCCACGGCGGAAAGACGGAAGGCTTCGCGGAGGATGGCCTCACAGTAGGGGAGTTGGGAGAGGTGTTCATATTCCCATTCACCCGTGCCGACGACGGCGTCGATCTCCTCTTGCGCCTTTTTGATTTCCTCTGGGTTCTTGACGAGGTAGTACAGCGCGAAGGAGACGAGATTGGGGGCTGTGGCGGAGCCGATGAAAATGTTGATGATTTCGTCGAGGACTTGGCTGTCTGTCAGGGAGTTGCCGGACTGCGGGTCTTTGCCGTGGAGCATGGCGTAGAGCATGTCCTTTTTGGGGTTCTGGCTATCCTTGCGCGTGGCGACGATCTTGGCGCCGTAGTCGCGCATGATCTTGATGTAGTTGTCGAACTTGCGGTTGTAGTACAGCCAGTTGAAGAGGCGGGGTCTTGTGGGACGGCGCATGGCTTCGCCGGTCGCGGCTTCTTGGGCTTTAATAACAGCCGGCTCCTCGCCCAGGACGCAGTTGACGCGCTGGTCGAAGAAGCACAGCATGTTGGCGGCGTGGTTGAGACGGTCCAGATCGTTGGTCACGCTGACCTTTTGGTGGTGGCCCGAAGACCATTTCTGGACCAGATCCTTTGCTGTGTCGCGCATGCCTGCGAATTCCTGGCGGACGGCCTCTGGGCTGACCAGAGGTGCCATGATGCGATGTGCCTTGCCCCAGCTGTCATCTTCGGAGTGGAAGGCTGTGAAGAGACTGTCGTGGACGGCTGCGCGGATCTCGACGACGGGTCCTGTCACGCATTTCCGGAAGCGAGTCTGGTCGCAGATTTCTTCGATGTAGGCGTTGTTGGCGACGAAGACGATTTGATGGCCGAGGACATTGATTTTGAAGATGGGGCCTGTTCATTAGCACTGTACCAAAAGATAGTTATATCAATTGCAAGCTCACCATATTTCTCAGCCAGCGCATTCAAAGATCCCCAAGTGTTAGAGGGACTGACATCCAAAATGTTGCCCAGGATCGGGAGACCGGGTGGTGCTGGGATAGGCGCGGGCATGATGGATAATTCAAATCACCGGAAAATGATGCAACACAGAGCAAGGAGAGAAGAACAAGAGGAAAAGAGCAAACCTAACCATCTTTAAGAATCCCAGCTCAGCTCACAACCTCACGCAGCCAACCACTCAACCTCGGCCACCTTCCACAGCTCCATCCTCTCGCATCACCAACACCAATCGACCTCTCAGCTGTGCAGCTCCACAACTCCAGTCCGAGTTGTCCGTAGTAATCCAGGCGAAAATGACTGGCTGTATAGCTCCAGCTCGGCCGTGCAACACTCCATTAGCTTCGGCGGCGCTGTGACTGGCCCAGTAGTTTTGCAGATCGGGACAACCAGATCGAGAGTTCAGGGCAGATTAGCGGACGATGTGGAGACTGAGACTTTCAGCTGAAAAGTTGAAAAAGCAAGCACGGACTCGTTCGTCACTGGAGGAGAGCTGAGGGAAGAGGTGGTGATGGCGGTGAGATTCTTGCAGGAGGATTCTGCATGTTGACCTGTCTTGCTGTCTTGGTTTGCTACTATGGTAGTGGTGATGGTGATGGTGGTGATGGTGGTGGTGGTTATGACGGTGATTGTGCTGTACCGGCAAATTTCTACGGTCGGTGGCTGAATGAGGAACTGAAGATCGTCTTGGCCGATTGGGACATCCAGCAGGACGGAATCCTCTGTATTTTCATGAGATGAAGCATTGTATTAATAAGTGGGTTTATTCGTGTCTCGTGTCTGTCTGTCTAGATACTAATATTAAACGCCTTGAAGGCAGTACTCCGTATAAACAACCGATGTACCCCGTATGTACCCAAACTCCATCAACCGTATTATGATTAGATGATTAGCTATGTGCAAACCCGACCATTTCCGAACTCTCCAGTAACACAAACGACTCATATCGTAGACCTCGTTCCCGTGCATCGCGCACGCCACTACTATTCCATACAGCCCCATAGCCATCGAAGAGTGCCCGCCAGTAGCACGCTTCGGCTGCTTTGGTCAGATATCGTTCGCGGAAGGTTCGCACGCTGTTGTCAGCTATGCGCTTGGCGGCATCCGGGTTCTCGACCAGGGGTTCCAACTTGTCGGCCAAGTCGCTAAAGTCTCGTTCTACTTCGACATAGTTTTGCTCGGGACCGCTGGAGACCAGCAGGTAGTGGTGGTGTTGGATAAACTGCAGTTTGTGGGCCACGATCACGGAGCGGCAGGCTTGACGGTATTTCAGGGAGGCAGAGTACGAGCGACCTGTCCCGTTAGTTGTCTGATCGAATAATAATATAAGAAATAAAGAAGCAGGAGGCGGAAACTCACCCTCGACATGTGCAATAAACATATACTTGCAGTGGTCCTCCATCTTGATAATATTGGCCTTCTCCTGCCAATCCACCTGCTTCACATCGCCCCAGGTCTTATCCCGCGCTGCCTCAAGCAGCGCCCGTCGCAGCTTCGGAGCAAAACTAGGCTTTCCGCGCCAAACCAGCTGCCTCTTCTTCTCCGGCCACGGTACATCAACTTCCTGAATATGCTCAACCACCTGATCAAACGGCCCGATTGGATTCTGCGGATTATCCCAAGCCCAATACCCAAAATCCGGCATTAACCAAACCGCCTCCTCGGTCGCAGCCCGCGAAAACACCCACACCGGATACTCCGAACTCGTCACATCCTCCACTTTGTCCTCGACGGAAAACACAAAACTTATGTCTCGCGAGCGGCGATCCCGGTCGGCGACCAGCGCTCGATGGATCGCGCTCAACACGGCCAAAATCTTCTGGCGATGGTCTTCGCCTTTTGCGCGGGCAGCATTCACATAGAGCTCTCCGCGGTAAATCGACGCGCGTGCCATTCCGGGTTGCAGGTTGATGCGATCGAGGTCTTCTGTCGCGAGGTTACCGTGATACCGCCAGTAATTCACGGCGCGAAACACGTCTTCGAAGAGCCCCGGGAACGCAGTCCTGCATTGTCCCCGGTCAAGGCCTTCATCGCCGGCGTCGCGTTCATATTGGTAGCGCCAATTGGTCGAGGGGGTGAGTTGTTGGAGGAGACTGGTCTGGGAGCAGGAGAGGCAGCTGGAGCACTGGAAGGTTGTGGAGGTTTGACAGGCGCAATGGCCGGCGGGGATTAATTGCGTCAGAAGTGGATGGATGTAATTTCTGTCCGAGTTCATGCCATACCAGATGGACACGATGCAAAAGAAAACCACGGTAAAAATGACATAGAGCGCGGAGAGGGTACTCCTACGCAGGCGCCAGAAGGAACAACTGGGAAGCGCCATCGCGGAGAGCGAAGCGGCGGGGATTATGATTCATTATTCGAGAATCAAGAAAGATTCGAAGAGAAGGAGAAGAGAGGGGAGGGAGGAAATAACGTGCGAAAAGAAATTGGGACAGGCAGGGGGGGCGGTAGTCACAATTAGGAATGATCTTTAAAGGCGATGATCTCTGAAACATCCCTATAGCCGTGGTTCACTACTCTTTTGTCTCCTTCGGAGCGGTATATTTGTGGCTACAAGCTATCTCTAGTCTGTTTAGTATTGCTTGTCTGCTCTCAGTAGTGCTTGTAACTCTTGGTTTCTTGTCCTCTCTCTGCCAGCACCCCTCCTTGTATTCGGGCGGCAGACAGTGTGCTGATCAGAGGGATCTTCGCCTTTTTCGGCGAGATGGAAAATTGGTCTCCCCTGTTGGTCTCATTTGGTCTTCTCGCGGAGGGCTGTAGCTGTTCCTGAGCGCTTGCTATTGCTTTATACTCCTCTACAGAGTATGCTTCCCCCGGGGTATGGCCAATCGGGTCTCCCCCCAGCAACAGGGTACCCCCCGTCAGCACCTTATTCGCTTGACTTAGCACCGGCAGTTCATATGCCATCCCCCAGACAGGGACGTTAGCCTGCGGCAACCCCGTACCCCAGCGTACTGTCACAATGGTGCTGACGAGTGCTTCCTGGTTTACATCTCCGTTTCCACGGCTCACAACCCGCTATGCTACATGACCTGTCATGTCCCGTTCCCCTGATGACCGGGCCGTATCCATAGAATTGTATATCTGGAACGGGGTACAGTACGGGGGAGTCAGAACACCGTTGTTCTGGATGCTCGTCTGTATTCTTTTTCCTCCGTGGCAATGATGCATAGCACAAGTACATTAAAGTAGAGTATGCCCCTTTCTCAGGAGCCAGCACCGACCACGATCATCCAGAGGTTCGCCAACGGGCGGCGCGAGCTGTGGTGCTTGACAGGGGCATTGCGCGTCATCTGTTTCCTATTATTTGAAATGGTGTTATAGCATAATATTTAAACAAGAATACATCAAGGCAAGATGGCCGAGCGGTCCAAGGCGTCAGGTTAAGGTTACCTTAACTCAAAACTTCTAGAAGTTTCCTGATCTCCGACAGGGGGCGTGGGTTCGAATCCCACTCTTGTCATTTATTTTGGTTTTTTTTTTTTTTTTTTTTTTTTT